GCCTCATAGCTCCAACGACAAATTTTTCCGACGTCGGACTTATGAGGTGTCGGACTTATGAGGCGTCGGACCTATGAGGCGTCGGACCTATGAGGCGTCGGACTTATGATACGGCCCCAACATTTATAGGTGAGAAAACCTTTACGGTGAAACCTCAGGAATTCCAGATTTCAAAAGCGATTCTTTAAAAATCATGAAATCAGGAAAACTCCTGTCAAAGTCAACCCTGATGTATTTGAATTGACATACAGGATTTCACACTATATTTTTTTTGGCAGCGTACACTTGGGTCCAATTTTGAAGGGGAAAACCCTTTGGCACAAAATGCATTTCCTCAATTTAAAAATTCACAAAGTTGGGATTTTAACACACAGTTTGCCTTCTAGGCCTTTACATTTACATAAATATGCATATGCAAATCACACACAATGAATATGCATTTAACCATGTACAACCTTTATCGCAGAAAAAATGCTTGTCTTAAAAAATAAAAATAATAAAGTTAACTGCTTATCATTAAATAAAATGACTAAACAAGCTTAGTATCAAAAATAAAGAATATGAACAATCAAAATAACTTCAAAATAACTAAAAAGATTACAATTTCTCAGAAATATTTTGTTTCATACATAAGACATGCTTAGGTTCATAATTTTTTTTTAAAGTAAAGTTGGAAATGTGTTGAGTTAAAGCATGAAAGATACAACACGAAAAAAAGTAAAATTTTGTGAAGCACACAGAAATTTAACTCATAAATTGTCAAATGGTCATTACACTTGACATTTAGATTATTTAGACATTTACCTTGTAATGCTGTACCGGTAGTTCTAAGGATATACAAATTTACACAAGTATTGCTAAGTTAAGTACATAAAAATCAGTAGTGTCTAAATGCTTGTTATTTTATATAACAGGGCTTTTTAACCAAAATGGTAAAAAAAAAAAATATTTCAAGTTACATTAATTCTCTTTTACCTAATGTAAAGAATATTTCTGCGTGGAAGCTTTTCTTTAGGGGGGTAGGGGGAGTAAAAACCCAAACCATGTTAAATCATTATTTGCAAAATGTATTTCATCGTAGCACTGAACTTTTTCAAGGTTGATTAAAAAAAATCAACAAATCGTCAAATAGTAGAGTGATAGGTTGTATGTCCAGTGCCGAGTTGCACTGCAGCATTTGGCACAAAGTGGTTATGTCAATAGCACATTTACTTTCTGCATATATCGGGGATATTGCTTGAATTTTCTGATAAATTTAAGGTTATTCCTCATTAGAAATTTGCAAAATGTTTTACCATTGGGCCTAATCATTGCATACATTAAGACAAACAAATATTGCTTTATACTTCCATGCCTAACTCACTCAAACAAGATGACATACATAGAATGAATTTATCAAGCAGACTTAAGTCTTCACTTCCCCCAAATCTAGGCTGAGTTTTTTTTTTGGGGGGGGGGATGAAAAAATCATGAAATATTCGGCATAGGGTTTGGAGGATAACGACGGCCCCAGAGCAACGTAGGATCAATGGTATACGTTTGCACAGGGTGTGCCAAACAATAAATTGTGCAAGCAGATATCCTTTAATTTCTCAAAAACTACTTAACATGAGTATTTCATCTTGATGGAGCATATCAATAATACTCTTGTGTATATTCAGTGAAAATGCCATGGAAATCCGTTCATACAAACCAGAGATCTAACAGATTGTAAAAAACTATGGGTTTTGCCACCCATTCCAATGGGATTTACACAATTAGAGATGTCAGTGCATCAAATTGCCATGGGCCTTTTCACTCTGATGTAAAGTAAGTAAACTGTGTTAATCTCATCCCATTGGAATGGGTGAAAAAACCCATAGCCTTCTATAATCTGTTAGATCTCCGGTTTGCATGAACGGATTTCCATGGCATTTCTACTGATATACACAAGAGTACAATTAATATGCTCCATCTAGCTGAAATTCTCATGTTAGGTAGTTTTTTTTTAGAAATTTACGGATATCTGCTTGTACAACTTTTTGGGGACACCCTGTTTTTGCCTAAAAATAAAATACCAATATCTTTTGTTCAATATTTTAAGGTACTACATCAACCTTTATAGGTACAGAGACCTTAATTGTTAACTTTCACAAAATCCAGATTTCGAATGGATTTCTTAAGGAAATCCCAAAATCAGGAACAATCCTCATAAATCTCACCCCTGCAATAGTAACAAAGATATAACACATTAATATGGATGAAATTTGTACAAGGTTTGTCAAAGGAATGGAAAAAAAAACTGAGGTGAATCTACATAGTTACAAAATAAAAAACAGTAATACACACATGTATCTACACAGCACTTCAAAGAAAAAAAATACATAAAGAGCACAGATATGCATCTCCCCTACTTTTTGTCTTGCCCGTTCTGCCAAGGCAAATTGTCATTTCAGTCATCGAAAGCCCGCCAAGCACACACAATGAATACTGTTTATTTACATCTGAATGCATTAGATTTTCAAACACTATGAACTGGCTCAAATATATACTTTAATACTATAAGCACAAATATAATGATGTGATATTGTGATTTTTCATGATATAAATTTACATTACAATGGAAAAAAATCAGTATATCATATAAAATATGATTGCATTTCTTGTTTATTGAAAGCAGCAAATTTAGAGTAAGATGTTCTGTTAACCCTTACCCTACTTGACCCTCCAATGCATGCCAATTGTGCCTCAAGAAAATCTCCTATGTTTTTTGCATGGCCCTCCAATATCTGCCATGTCATTTCAAGGGTAACTGGACAGGCACTCCAATACATGCCACAGAGAACAATGAGAGTCCTCTGATAACAAAGTGAGTGCCCCCAGCTGGTCAGTATCAGGCACCCTCCAGGGCCTCCAACTCCTGCCAATTGGAGCCTTCACTGTTAAGACTTGTTATCTGCCAAATAACTGCAGCTGGAGGGCATTGGCATAACCAACTGACATGCAGTAAACTACCCTCAGAGAGTAAGGGTTAATACACGAATGTACACACAAGTGAGCTTGAGTTATTTCAATGTCTATATCAAGGCACACACTGACTCTGAGAGAATTGTAGATATTAATAATAATAATAACAGGCATTTAGGCCTATATAGCGCTTTTAACCTGGGTATCAAGGCGCTTTACAATTATTATCACCCCTGATCAACGGGCAAACACTCCTGAAACCTTCTCAACTCCCTGGGGAGCAAACACGGCCTGTAGACAGCCATTTTGGCGCTCTTGGCCGTAATCAACCTCTCACAGTAACCAACTCTGCCCTCACAGGTACCCATCTACTCCTGGGTGGAGAGAAGCATTGAGTGACAAAGCGCCTTGACCAAGGGCACACGCACCTTAACCCCGGGCTGGACTCGAACCCACAACCTGCAGAATTACCTGCAGACAACAAATTCAATGCTCTGGGCCACTAGGCCACGGCACTCCAAAATATTGCGAAGATTGAAAAAAAAACTGGATTTAGTTTCTGAATTCAAAAAGATATATAGAAAAGCATAGATAGCTCTATGGAATGTAGGAATTAGTTTGTAGTTTATAAAAACTGCATGTCTCGCAAAAAAAAAAAAGGAATTTAATTTTCAAAAACAGGAATTCAAATTCAATTTTCTTATCCTGAAAATTGAATTCACTTCTATTCCCTAAAAGACAACGTCAATGAACAGAATCGTTTACAGTGAAGTCCGGCTGACAGGCGCTGGTTATTAAATTAAACCCGAGAAATATATTAAATCAGCTCAAATTAACAAGCTGTTGAAAAAAAGAAGAAGCAAGGGTCGATTTTATTGGCACAAAGTGCCATGTATTGACGAGGGGGGGGGGGGGAAAGAATTAAAAGTACATGTGACCTCACATGGATTTCCACTACACTGGGAATGTAGTTAGTAAAATCAATGGTGTTCACTAACCCCAATTTCCCCGGAGGTTTTACATTTTTCGCAGTGTCGGGAAAGATACGGTTCGCCCTCTACACACTAGTCACTGTGACGTCGAACCGACTGGCAATCCAAAGACTTCAAGGGCCAATGACATGAACATTACTTGGCAACATGTTTTATGCAACTTTCTACGCCTCTTAAATGTATGAAAACTATTTGACATCCCCGTTTGGTCAATTTTATTGAACAGTGCACTTTTTTTCAAAACTTTTGAAATTGTCTATGCTTTGCCTGACAGATGAGGGCGTTGTTACTGTGATGTCATTTCAGGAAGCCACTAAACTTCAAGAGTTTTCTGTTCAAATTGTCAACCCAAAATTTCCTCATTGAAAACATGCGTGGGAAAACTTTGCTCATTGGTTTACTGTGATGTACTGAAACAACAACAAATCATCAAAGAAAAATTTACAACAGCACAATATCCAAAAATCTGGCAAATTTTGGTGCAGAAATAGCTGTGACATTGAGGTTTCTTTGCTCATGAATATGGAAATTTGCATCAGCACGAAAATGTTTGAAGATAGTTTGAAGCCAAAAACTTGACAGAAAAATTTGTCAAAAAAAATGAGAAACGGCAAACATAGGGCTGGATAGCTCAGTTGGTAGAGCACCGGAACGGTGATACGGAGGTCACAGGTTCAAACCCCGCTCCAGTAAATTTCTTTGTTCAACTTTATAAAATTTAGTCACAATTACATGTATTGCAATTAATTACTTACGTTTTTTTGCCAGTAACAGAGTTGGGAGACAGCAATGTGGTGGGAAGTTTTGGACTAAGATGACGGTGGGTAGTGTAATGGAAAGTGTTGTCTCTTTTTCAGAAGTCAATTTCAGTTACAATGTATGCTTGACCTGGACAGAAGCTTGTGTACTAATGCATCCAGGAATACTATCAGACAGAGTCTCCAATAGTCTTGCTAGAGCTACGGTTTGCATAATATTATGTCCATGCATAGAAATACTACTTTCTAATTTGCCATCAAAGTACTTACACAACTTGGATCATGGCTGGACAATGGCTAAAAATCAGAATTTCACACAAACAAATAAACCACCCGATATTTATAATGCCTCATTTTAAAAGTTGCATTCAATCCAACAAATTATTCAAAGAGAAATTTTATAATGCTTAGTTTACTGAAGTCAATAAATACTAATAAAAATTCACTGGAAATGTCAATTATCAGTTTCGAGAACGAAGAATTTTCATCTGAAATCTGAAGCCAGATGCACTCATTTTCTGAAAAACGACTGTCATCGTTTTCCTGTAAAATGGAGACATCTTTCCGTGGACTTGTTTGCGACAATTCCTTTTTAAGTACGGTATCATTTTACCGCCGATACGTCCTCAATATAAAAGTGTCGCCTGAAGCTACAAAAGCAGAAAGCTTTCAGAAAAAAACAGAGCAAATCATCACTTATTTATTGCCGGTACATTGAATTGCTCGAGTAATTCCTTTTAGGTGTTTGTACTCTTTTACAATTTCCACTCGTGATTAGAGTTGTTCTTTGAAAACACTTAATTGAAATCCAGGCCCAGTTGCCTTGAATGATCAGAATGAATGGAATAATGTTTCAATTCGCTCCTTCAGAGCGTCTTGAGAGGGTAACCTGAGCTGATAAAAGGCTCACTTTGGCACGTCTGAAATTGAAGGACTTTATAGTACAATAATTTGCCTCCTCAGTCACTTAGGCTAATGGACACTTTATGGAAATACTGTAAAACAATCTAGGGGTTAAAAAAAAATTGGCTTCACTTGAACTTTTAGTTGCTACATGTATGTACATCATTTCAGTTAGTGGAAATATTTTAATACTGCATTAATCTTGACACACTGGAGCTTAGCACAAGATAATCTGACACGCCACTTTGGCAACTTGGAATAGGATAACCACCCCTGTGATTAGTGCGTTGGAACTGAACGAAGCCGCGCCGTTTCTTGTCTCCTGCTGTTTGACAGTGGAGACGATCGGCGGGGTTGTCATATCCGTCGTTGGGAGGTCGCCGTCGTAAAAGACGGGCAGGGCGTGGCGCCAGTTGAGCCGGAGCTGATGCGCGGCCGCTCGCACCAGCTCGATATTTTCGGGCATTTCGGCTACGTTGACGTCCTCCGACGGGTCCTGGTCGTAGAGGTACAGCTCCCTGGCTAGCAGGCCGGACCAATCCACGTGATAATTGGAGTTGTTGAACGGCAGCCACTCCGCATACCTGTACTCCTTGGTCCGCATGGAGTAGCCCATGATGTTGATTCGGGACAGAGAGGGCGTGTTGGTCTTGTGGGAGGGGAAGAATGTCGGCCGTGGGTACTGACTGAAGGCCGCCTTCTTCCAGCGCCGGATTTTCAAGTCGGTGGGGCGGCCGACGGTTCGATTGATTACAGGTGCCAGGCTTACTCCCTCCGTGCAGAAGGTCACACCGGTGGGGGTCAAGGGACACAGAGGGGGGACAGGGAGCCCAGCGAGCTCGGCTACCGTCGGAAAGACGTCAACCAGCTCCGCCAGGGCGTGACTGACCAACCCTGAGTTGTGACGGTACAGAATTGGCTCATCTGAGAGATCAATGGGAGACTCACCTGGTGTTGTCTGACCGCTGGGGTGGGGGTGCTGGGGATGGAGGTTGTGGTCAGGGTGGAGCCTGTCAAAGGCACTGTTGAGGGGAAACCTGCGTCGGTACAGCGACCCTGTCCTGTCGGTCACCCCCGGCACGTAGAACATGAGCGGGACCTGAGTTGCTGAGGCAAAGTTGCTGTACTTGGACCACTCCTGGTGCTCGCCTAGCTGCCATCCTGCAAACGAGGATGGGTGATAACCGTGATACTGATTGGTCAATTATCCTATTGATTAACCAATCGACTTAGTTATCCCACATCCCCTAACGACATACCTTTTACATGCTTCATGCTTTACTGTTGTCATATGTCATGTATCATGATTCACCAGGGTTTCCAACATAAACCTGAAGGTTTGTCCAAAATGAGAAATCCTAGCGTTTAATTGGAAGTGCCCATTAGACACTTCGGGAGAGGCAGTTTCAAGAACTTTCACTCTTTGTCTCTTGCTGATTCCAACAAAATCTAATAGTAATGAACCCTACAGAATCCAACACAGATAACCAATGATCTCTGCTGTACATGTATAACTGAGGCTACTGGGAAGAAAATTCTAGCTCTTTTATTTGATTTTGAGACAAATAAAACTAATTCTGCAATATGTGAATTCAGTGGGATCTGGACAGACAGTCAGATATCAGAAAATCTGTACAGTGTGGGCAAGAAAACGTTGGACTGGTTTAAACTTTCTATTTTGTTTTAGGAAAATTGCGAAATCAAAATTTTCCATTTTCTGAAATTGTGGATGGCCATTGTTTTTTTTTTAAATTTATTCAATTACTTAAAAATAAAAAAAAAATCACTTTTTTTTAATCTAATTTTAATTCAATTTAATTTATTTATATTTTTTTAGGGGGGGGGGGGGGGAGGGGGGAACAGAAATTAAAAAATTTACAAACCATGGTCTCCGAGCAATGCAATGATGGTATCATCGGCTAGGCCTTCTTCTTCTAGTGTGGACAGGACTCGGCCCACCTGGTAGTCGATGTAGGAGGTAGTAGCAAAGTAGGCTTGTCTCATCAGGAGCTGTGCAGAACAAAAGAACAAGCATCCACATTACTCGGATACAGCTTGCAATATAATACACATGGACCTATAGAAGCGGCTGTGGCTACTGCCCATGGACATGTGCTATTGCTAGCCGTAGACAAGTACATGTACATATGTGACCCGCTCAACGAAAAAGGGTATCAGGCAATGTTAGGTCGCGCTGTGCATTATCATGTATTGGCCCGCTCAAAGTTGAGAACACTTTGTCAAAATGTGCTTTTCATTTTTTCTCATGAATTTATTACATAAGTGATAACGTTTCAGGGTTCGTCGTTGGAATCCCTCATTCTCCTGACGACGGGCAGAGCATACTGTTTTCGAAACGTTGAGTCCCTCCGGTTCTTTTCAGAACCACACATACTCAGTAAAGAGATTTATTCGCATGGTGCTTCCGCAAACTTATCTTGTCTTAGTTTCAGGGTTCATTCACAGAAATGTATGATTTCGATGAGTAAAGTGGGAAAATCCACAAATTGGAGTGCGTCATGCCCGAATAATACAACAGAGCCTCAGAAGTCAGATGTGTAATTCGAATACCGAGGATGCAAATATGTCTTATCTCCAGAACGGGAGGGGCTATGGAGCTCTATTACATACCAAATGAAAGCTTACGTTGTGGGCTTTCCAACCATGTACCGGTCAGCATCACTGAAGCGATCATTTCATGACAATCAAAATGCTCTATACCTTTAGTATGAAAACTTATGAAATTCCCCCCCCCCCCCAAAAAAAAATCACATTTCATAAAAGATGCATTGCCAATTAAAATGTCAGAAAAGACGTGATAACTTATCTGAAAAAAATCCATTTTATCTTCAAATGACAGGGACGGATAGCGCTTTCAAGGACCAACAACTGCACATCGATAACTTAAATTAATAACTCACATCTAACAACTGGGCATTTGTTAAATCTATCTTGTCGTAAAATATATTTTCCAAAAAAGAGCAACGACGTGACATGAGTTATTTTACAGCATATACGGAGGCTGTTGGTTACCAACTAAAAAGGGGGCAGCGATCATCATGTTCAAAGGCCGCTTGCAGTCACGCGATGAATGGTCGAGGCTTGCGGTCACAGTGCTGTAGCTATCTGGGATGTGATTGGACTCTGACCAAAAAACCTGAAAATTGTATGCATGAAGTGCAAACTCCAGCGAGCGCGAAACGGGAAGCCATTACGGCATGGGGTCCGGGCCCACTTAAGGCCCAGAAAATGTTGGATTCTAGATGCTCTGTGGTGCAATCTGAGGCGATTCCTAGCCACTTTGCCTTGAAATTTTGGAGTAGGAGTTTTTTAAACAATAAGAAGAATTCTAGCTCATATAAACTTTCTTCTGTACTCAAAGTTGAGAACCATGTACTTTCATCTACATATTTATTTTACTTAATTTGTAAAGATATTGTACCAGTATTTAGGCCCTGTGACATAATTTGTAAATTGTTGCAAGGATGCTTTCTGATGTTATGGACATTCTGATGTAATAGTCAAAATGTAAATCGCCCAAGAGTTCCGACTTCTTGGGTCCTAGTTCTATGCGAAAACAGTCCTCGGTGACTTGCTGTGTGCAATGTACACACTCAAGATTGCAAACGCTCAGAGACTGTGCTGTGAAACTTAAGGTCCAAAGGGAACGAAAGTTTCAAATAAATCTTGGCGGTGGAATCACTGGCAAACATCAATCTCTTGACATGGATTAAGCTTTCCGTTTGTTTAGCTAGTCAGTTTGTTTTTGAAGGCTTAAAAAGGCTTTGAATAATTCTATGAATATTTGAACGTAAAAGTTGTATACACATGCATCTATCACAAGTCCTTAAGGACTAAAGAGAGATGTTTTTCCGCACTTAAACTATTCTCTGACCACATTTAACCCCGCGGAATATAGCTAAAGCGGCAGTGTAACATTTGCTCTGCCCATCGAATAAACAGAGTCTTCCATCGGCAAATGTTTGTCGTCTAAAAAGATGACGACCGGCCGACACATTTATATTTGAAGAGACAAGAGTGCAAATCCTCAATTGTTTGTTTTCCTGATTGGACAAATAAATGGCGAAGTACTGTTCCCTTGTTTTGGTAGAATTCTGGATCGTTTGTTCATGATTACCAAGAAAGACGCCAAACTCATCGACCAGAGCAATTCATGCTTTGGAAGAATCAACACAGTTGTACAGAAATATTTGAACTTGGATATTACTTGCCACTCGTTGACGCCTTTAATGGGTATACTTTATTTGACAAGAGTCGCATGGCGACGGGCACTCAACAAAAGAACTATGTGACGTGTCTGCTATCCTTGACCGAGGGGGGGGGGGGGGAGGGGGAGGGTCCATGCCGGTTGGGCGCCCCCAGCGAAGGAACGTGTCTCATTTCTTTCAAAGACAGCAGCGCACACACATCACTGGCAAGCAAACCCATTGTAACTGTCCACAACGCTGTCTGAACTAGGTGCGGCTGCATGGCCCCGTCTACGACGTATACAATAACACAGAGCTAGCTAGAGCTACAGCGCGATATCATATTACAAGCGCCCAACAGCCGTGCGTTGACCCACACACAATCATCACGCCACACTGAGACACAGCCAAGATACCGTTTGAGATTTAACCATTTTCACTTTCGTCATGTTCATAAATTTGGTCAAAAAACGGTTGTGTTGAACTGAGGGATTTCCTTTAAACGACTACAGAGTAAAAATTAGACCTTCGATGATCTTTTTTGGATATAAAGATGAAATGTTAAAAAAGCATTTCCACAAAAAAGATTGTTTTTAAGCAGGAATTATAGGGGCGTTATGAAGGTTGTGTGATACACTGTAAGTGCATTGACCAAGTGTCAGTGTACAGGACTCACTGCATGACAGAACGAAGCAAATACAGACTCTTTTCTAGAATTTGCCTTTCAATAATAGACTAATATGCACATTCGGTATGGAACAAATGCTTGAATTATGACTGTAGAAAAAGAAAGCGTACAAATAACGAGGGGTATTTCTATTATCACCATTTTGCACACCCCTTTTCTACGAATGGAAGAGGCACACAGACCATCGTTCGCGATCTTCTCGGGCCTCCCCTCCGGCCCCCCCCCCCCCCCCTGCGTTGACCATTACGAACTGCAACCTATGGACTCTATGGACTCTGCACGCAAATACCCCCTCAACGGTTAAAAGTAGAATGTTGGGAAGGACCACTTGGGAAGGTACAGGTAAAGGGGGTGCACCTGTGTTTACAGGAATGGAGTGCCCATCTCTCTTTCATTAGCGATTGGGCCAGACTCATATGCTCCTGTGGGGGATCGCCACACCTCCTCCACTCACAGCGAGTCTGTTACCTTCCCAGCATTAAATAATGCCGGTATCCATTTAACACCTGGGTTGAGAGGAGTAATTGAGGTAAAGCGCCTTACTCAAGGGCACAACACGCATGGCCACGGAGGGCTCGAACCCACAACCTCACGATCGTGAATTTAGCTCTACCGCTAGACTACACGTGCCCTTGGGAGGACTCTTTGAATGCACTGCTGACATAATTGTTCTAGTGTCAATGTTCAAGGGCTGGATAGCTCAGTTGGTAGAGCACCAGAATGGCAATCCGGAGGTCACAGGTTCAAACCCTGTTCTAGTCAATTCTTTGTTCAACTTTAAAATAGTTATATTGCACCTAGTCAGTTTCCCTTTGTGTTTTTCTGTTTTGAAAATTTTCAATAAAAAGCTTCTCTGAGTGATCCTCGCTTGCTATTTCGCAGGTTTGCAGCACTGCTAATGTTGCTAGCGTAGCGACTTTGCATGTGATCCCTGGCTACATGCTACATACAGATTCATGGCTTCTGACTAGCGCCCCTTGAACAAAGACATTGATTAAATGGGGAACCACCTACACAGAGCTGGATAGCTCAGATGGTGGAGCACCGCAACAACAATTTGGAGGTCGTAGGTTCAAACCCCGCTCCAGTCAATTTCTTTGTTCAACTTAAAACCAAACAAAAAATTAGCATTTTTGTTTGTCCAAATACTCTGATTCCTACCTGTTTCCTCATACCCACAATCAAAAGCCCAAGTACTCTAAACACTCTGTCTAGTTTCTAAGGTTTAATTCCTATTATACGAGGCCTGAATAAATCCCCATCATCTGAATACATCCCCATCAAAAACCCACAGCCTGGTCGCGTAATTTTTATTCCTAGGAGGGTTAGGGGCAATGTCATGAATAATTCATGTTTATCCATGAGAACGGACAATGACATCAACAGCATTGTTGTTAGTTACTCAACTAGTTACAATACATTAAAGCATTTTAAGGAACGGTTGTCGTCGAGCTACCACACAGTAGCCTAGTGGATAGCGAGATGAGCTATGGATACAAAGATCCCTGGTTCGAATCCACGTCGTCGCTGCTCATTTTCATCAGCTATTTTTCTTCTCCAAATTTATCACTGAGATAATTTTAAATTAAGGGGTAAAATAGAACGAGAACCTAAGTCTTGCAATGATTCCAAGGAAAAACTGAATTATTCATGACATTGCCCCTAACCCTCCTAGGAAAAAAAATTACGCAGCCTGGTCGCACTGCAAAAATGGAAGTTCTATCCCACGGTAAATAGAAGTTCCATTGCACGGTCACACAACTGGTGGCTCTGACCAGTCAGATGACCAGAATTTATTCAGGTGTTGTATAAAACAACATAATGAAAGTTTTACATTCGTGCAATGGAAAGAATAATTTCATTCAGTGACGTACGGAATGTTCCATTCCACTTGACTTCACTAAGTGGAATGGACCATTCCATTTGTCACCTCATGAATAACTCTTTCCATTGCACTCATAAACATTCATTATTTTGTATGCTGTGCTAGGTTAGATTTCAGAATTCTGCTAGTCAGATTAATGTAGCAATCAAAAATCTGCTGAGAACCAGTTACTAGCAGTATACATCACATGACTTTTTTGGCTGGTACCCTGTTTCTGCTTAGCAAATATTTGTCTGTGCTTAACAAATTTTCTGTGCCTTGTGCTCAAATAGCCTTTCTGAGATTTGCATACTACTTGGAGAAAACGAATCTGGGTAGGAAACAAAGGATTTTACTCACTCCAAATAGCACCCTTCTATTGTGTTCACCGTATCACTAAAAAAATAAAGGCTGATCAATTTGGCCCATGGAACCTACACGAGTGACGAGTTACTCACATGATACTTCTTGGGCATGGGCTCAAAATAGTCCGGTACCCGTCTGGAGAGCGGTATGTCGTCGCCTCGCCGGACGTCCTTCCAGTGTTCCCAGGCCACCGCAGGCAGGTTGGCGGTGTAGAAGGGATTCTTGGCCATCTCTATGCTGTCAATAGGGTACAGATCTTTGTATTCCTGAGGATATCTGGAAAGTCGATAGGAGATTCACAACATTATTTTATTATTCTTTAGAGAACAATTAACCATTCTTGAACCATTTCGCAATTCTGAATAATTCCATTACCATTACTTTTGCCTATTTTTCTTTTTCATATTTGGACTATGTTGTTGTGTATTTTTTGTAATTTTTTTATATTGTAACATTCTTGCAATTTGGCCTGAGGGCCACGAGTTAAATGAAAAAAATTACCAATATAAAAAAAATTCAGTCACAGATTTATTTATAGCATATGCTAATTTTTCTAAAAATTCTGTTCAGCTGAAACAATGTCATTAAATTGCAAGTTTCCAATGCCCTAGTAGTTATCCCTTTCTCTAACCCTCCTGCTATTTGAACAGTCACAGAGTGTCAACATATCTATCCACTTCCCATGCTATACTTTTAACACAGGCTAGTCACCAGCAGTCAGATCATATGTCAAGCAAGCACTGTGACTAGTCAAAGTCAGTCAACAGACCATGAACAGACAAAGCAGGCAAGTTGTGAGCACAGCTGGCTTATCAATTACCCACAGTCAAAGCAAAGCTGTATCGAGTTACATTAACAGTCACGGCCAGTCAATCTTGCTTTATGTAGGCTGGGAATTCTTAACTGTTGAAAACAGTTACCTCGTTGATTTTTATAAAAAGGACTACCGTAATTTTCGGAATATAAGCCGCGCGGCGTATAAGCCGCAGCACGCAAAAATCTGCAAATTAAGATTTGAAGTCGGTGTATAAGCCGCATCGGCGTATAAGCCGCACCAACCGCAGCGGTTCAATTTTGTAAGGCCTCCAAATTCTAGTCAAAATGCTCTGAACCAGTTCCATTTACACTACGAAAGCTATAAAAGGGCCACAAAAGTTATGTCAAATCATTTACAGTCGATTACTCTTACAAACAAATATGGAAATTGATGATGAGAAATAAAAAACGGGAATTGCAGCCGACTGGCTCGTCAGTGAGCCTGTGCCGGCGAATGACATTATTTTCCCCCAGCACTTGAGAGAGTATGCAACCCACCATGTGTTGTCTGACTGGAGCGCTACAAATCCTGCTTAGTGGCAACAAACGCTGAGTTGTTTTGTCCTAAAGAATAAACAAGTCCGTTTTTACAGCAAAACTTATCAAATTGTTGTGATTACTAACGAGTAGTAACGTCAAAAATTCAAGTTTGGATCGTAACTTTCTTCGAAAACAGTCAACACGATGCTGAGATTTTTATGGACGAATCCATTAATTTCGTAAGGGGTTATTTCACCCCTGTTTTGAGTTTTACATCGTTTCTTGTATACCTTTCAAGAAAAAAAAATTATATTGTGACGTTGAACAACTGATTATCAAATAAAGATATGTTTCAAACTCCACAAAAAGTATTAGTTGTCGATTTTCTTTTTTAAACAGGGGAAATATTGGTAATTATTGTTCCCAAGAAAGTACACCCCTTTATTACCACAAATGGTGTGGTCCATGGGGAATCCATGCAGGCTTTCACTAGCCGTACTTTTTACCGCTCTGTACCTTTTTGTGGGACGTGCTTTCGGTTTGTTAATGACTTTCTTAATTGATAATTACATTTGTATTTCAGCAACACATCTCTTCTTGTACCAGTACATTAAATACACATGTAAATGTCATTTTTATTCTTCAAGTCTCGGCGTATAAGCCGCCCTGTGTATAAGCCGCAGTAAACATTTTAATGGGCAAATTCAACGTATAAGCCGCTGCTTATATTCCGAAAATTACGGTACTTGGAACAGAATGTATGTTTGCATAGGAGGGTTAATATGAAAGAGTAACGTGCATGCGATTTTTCAGGTTTCCTGCTCGAGAAAATTGTAGGCTCTTGTGCATACTGAAAGGAAGGCTTCATTTTCGAAATTTAGGTTTTGATTAGTTGAACCAAAAAAGTCTAATGTAATAACTCGAGTTGGATGCTGTCACCATTGGACCATGGCACTCTTCACTTCATCCTCCAAGTCTCCCTACTTACCCAGGGGCATCACTTATAGGGGGAGGGAGGGGTGGGGGGGGGGTGTCACACCCCCACTTATTTGTTTACCTTTCAGCAAAATCGTGTGTCTGTCATCATATTTTCCACCAATAATACCGCCACCTATGGGCTCCGTGCACAAGTACCCCTTCACCCTTCAACCGCCAAAGAAGTAGAGTTGGGGGAGACCATGACTGGTTCCCGGTCCATCCACTGCGTATTTCGAATGATCCAAAGTTATTGGGGGCGGGGCTTAGTCTGGGAGACCATCGCAAGTTAAATTTGAACGTATTCGCGCGCCGACGACGCCTGACGCTCACGCAGGAAGACGCTATGGGCAATTCCACGGTTACTCACGTTACATTTTCGTAACGCGAGTAACCGATTTTGTTGGTCTTGTTTATCATACATAACACATTTTTCTGGATGTCATCTTTGGTGCTTAGGTAGGTCTAGGTCTACTCTATCTACCATGGGGATAACAGTTATTAAACCTTTTCAGTAAGGTTACTACAGCCCAAGGAAACTCAAAAGTACATCAAAAATGTAACTTGAGTAACTGTGGAATTGCCCAAAAGGCTTAGCTTTGTGCGCATTCAGGATAAATCGTGCGTACTTCGCGAGAGTACCAGTACAGTATGCACACGGGGTGTTTCGCCCAAGGGCTCTCAAAAGTGGTTAAAACGCGCCCTCTTTTGTTGGGGCACGGAGCCCATAGTCCAATGGTATCCAGCCCCTCTTCCTCCCCCCCCCCAAATGTGGGCACCCGCCCCTACTTCTCCACCCCACTACTTCCCCAACCCCCCCTTCTCCTTTTCGATATTGTTGCGGTGGGTGACTAATGTCTATTGGCCATTTTGTTGACACACCCCTTCCCCATTCAAATTGGTCTAGCAATGCCCATGCTCTCACCTGAACGGCAAATGGGGTTTGTAGTACCCGACAGCCAGGAAGAACGGCAGGTGAGGCCTGGTGAGCTCCTCAATGCGCAGGGTGTCGTTCTTCTTCTTCTTCTTCTTGTTATGCTTGCCCCTGGTCCTCGACAGACTTTGCAAGACGGAGATTGCGTAGTCGGACGTCTCAATGTCGGGCAGCGTGCCGCCAGGCATAAGGGTAACGTTGACCGGGCACATGGTGTATGAGTGGAGATTACCGTCTAAACCTGGACATTGCTGGGCATAAACAAAAACATGTGACCAGCATTGGCAGAGCTTTATCAAAGAGTTCTCTTAACCTTGGATTTATCTTCGGCTTTCCAATACTTTTAGGTCCTTGATGTGGCAGACAAAGGCTAATAGTTTTGGGTCTATTTTCTATCTGAATGAGGTAAGGTCAAATGTACAGAATTTGTTCATTAACCCTAACTCCCCAGCATGATTTACTAGGAGCCATACCCATCCTGGCAAATTCCAACACCATGTGGAAAACTGCACACACATATTTCTGACTTTGTTTCTGGAGGTGTGCCAACCCAATGTAAAAGACTGTCAGTTTAGGGGGACTGCACCCATCCTGACAGATTCCAACAAAACATGCCGTTGGGGTTTTGTTGTATCTAGTACATGTAGTAATAAATGAATGAACGCAAAGGATGAAACACGAATGCCGGCCGATACATGTAGGTGTTACAAAACTCAACAACTTTAATTTGCTCACGTGGCCCTTTATATAGGGGCAAGCTAGATCCTGTGCGCAAGGATATTAAATAAAGTAGTCCCATAATTTATATATATACATGTAAATATATATTACAGGTTTGATGGGTTGAGTTCTGTTAGGATTAATCATATGCCCCGTGGATATAATTTGGCTAGAAACCCAGCAAAACAGAGCAACATGCAGCACTTTGCAAACAGGACAAAAGTAGGACTTTGGAGGACAAAATCAGGATAAAAGTAGGTTTTTTGCGGGCTTTTAGGAGTAGTTTTCGTTGATATCAACCTTGTCCATTGCACCATAAGCCTCATTTGGCATGTTCTGTTCTCACAACACTTGTGCTTCATCCTCAACCACAAGCTCTTGGAAGTACAGTTGTAGTTCTCCTGCGCCCAAGCCCTTCATTGTGTGATTTACTTTTATATGAACTATGACAGTGTGTAACAATGTTATAAAAAATATTTAATGAGATTTCATTTTTTTGAGCTGTGGGACAAAAAAGTAGGAATTTCAAGAAAAAAAGTAGGAAAAGTAGGAGCATGGTAAAAAAAAAAATAGGAAAAGTTAGGAAAAAGTAGGACTACTTGAAAGCCTGCTATTATGGCTGAAATTAATCAATGAAGGGAATTTGGGTGTACACAATGTATGGGTACTGCATACTTTTTAATTTGCACATCTTGGAACATACATTTGTACATGTACCTACGTTCAAGGACTATTGTGAGTGAATTTATGGTGTGTCCTCAGAAAGGCATGGCGTAGTGGTTAGTGTTTGTGACTCATGATCGAAGGTTCGGGGCTAAAATCCAGTTGCTGGAGTACACTATAGGGTGAGTAAAAAAAAAAAAAAACCCAGATGTCGGGACTATTGTTTTATTGAAGTTCTGCATGTAGCACTTTCACAATCTAGGATATGAAAGCCCAATTCATAAGCTTTCTTTTAGTACAAGAATCATTCAAATCACTCATGTACTTTTCAAGTTATGGAATTTTAAACACAACCACCGTTTTAAGGTTCTGTCCACGGATCACAAAAAGTTCAGTGTTCTTTCAGCAAAACGAAAAGAAATCACATAGGGATGTGTGTGAATTGTTTTTCGTTTTGCTGTAAATTGTTTTTGTTTTGCTGAAAGAACGCACACCTTTTTTTGTGATCCGTGGACAGAACCTTAAAACGGTGGTTGTGTTTAAAATTCTGTAACTTGTAAAGTACATGAGTGATTTGAATGATTCTTAGACTAAAACAAAGCTTATGAATTGGGCTTTCATATTCTAGATTTTGAAAGTGCTACATGTACCGGTACATGCAGAGCTTCCCTAAAACAATGGTCCCAACATTTGGGTTTCGTTTTTTTTACTCAGCCTGTATAAAATACAACTAACCCCCAAATCCGTCCATTTCTGAAAACTAAAGCAAAAGCAAATGTTGTATATTATCTATAAAGATACGGGAGGGCTATTTCACAAAAAGTCGTGTTAATGCACTTCTCAGTTGCATAGTTTTCAATGGAGCCAAATAAATATTAAATGGAATAAATGCTTCCGTAACAACTAAATTTCATCAGAATTGAATAAACAACTCTATATCTACACGGGCTTTCAGGTCTTACCACACTGTTGATTGACTTTACAGCCTAAGAATTCTGAAAGCTTTTTTTTTTTCAATTTTTTTTTGAAAATTCTGGAAAGCTACCATTAATTCTACACAGGAACTTTAAGCTGCGCAAATCAAATTTACCATAAGTAATTCCTCTGGAAGCTTTCCAAACAAAATGTGTAAAAGGGGGTTGAATTCTCGGCCTACCTTGATTCCTTTCTCTCTCTTTGAGGTGGGCCGATGCACGGGGACGGACCAGCTCAGCGGGTAATCATCCGTGAAATTGGAGCAGGCTCCTATTTTATTTAATTTTTTTTTTTTTGGAGGAAAATACAGGAAGGAAACAAACAACCTGGTTAGCACCTGGAAAGCAACCGACTGGAAAAATATAAATTAACTGGAAGGTGAAATAATAGTTACGAATTTCACGCTTCGGTCGTCAAAAGTTGAACCTTGGAAAGTTGGGCACAATGCATGCTGTCACCTTGACCTCTGACTACATGCACTTTTGGAGGTTGAAGTTTCAGACTTTTTGACAGTAGAATCGCAGGCAAATTCACACAGCATTGGAAATCCCTAAAGGTACCGTAACATACAACATTTGCAAACATCAAAAACCAAAAGTATCAAATTATTATGAAATAACTTTACTGTGCATGTAAGTGAATAACAGTCCTTTTTTCAAATACTGCCCCGAATTTACCAAATTTAGTTAGTCCACATTTTGTTTGCAATCGGTTACACATCCGCGAACGGGTGAAAGCCAGCTACATGTACATGTAGTCTGGTTCCCTGACCTGACAATTCCGTGATGTCTATGAATTACTCTGTTTCGTCTTAAGTAGGGTCAGGGAACCAGACTACAAGAACAGCAACTTTTTCTCAGTTTATCCAGCATCTACGAACACAACACTTTAAACAGGTCAGTGTAACAATATTTGCTTTAAAATACCAACCCCAAATCCATTTATTTCTGAAAATTACAGCAAAAGCAAATGTTGCATATTACCTTTGTTTAAAAGTACCGTACGTCCTAAATATTGTTGTGTAATGATATTTCTTCATTAAAAAAACAATTATTATTAACAAGCCCAACCATAAATATCCAGAGGTATGTGCATTTGCATCTCTTATCCCAGTTTTGTCAAGATTTGGAGAAAAAAAATTAAATTTCACTTTCTCCTCACATCTACTTTTTTTTGGTGGTTTTATTTTGGTGACGGTGTGTTCAATTTTTGGGTGGGAAGATATAACCCAGAGAAAATTGGTATAGTACCAATACCAAAGTAGTTACACGCATTAAATACAGTGACATATATGTTAGCACCATCGATTTATCAATATTACTCCATCATTCTAAATTATTTTGATACCGATATCGCTGATAGCAATCAAAATATCGAAATGTTCGATATTGAGGAATGATAGGCCTACATCAAAAATTTCGAAAATGCATAAGATTATCGTCAAAATAATCTCCCATTTGTGCTTTTACTTTGTGTTTAACGTTTGCTGTGGAATAAAATAAAACTCGACGGCAACTTGTGCTTGAGACTCAAAATAATAACATCGCAAAATTCTAAGCGGCAACGCTTTGTGCTCTGTGTTTGCTGGAATTCGCCGTCTCCCCCTCCCCCCAAAACCCGCCCTTTCTGGAGTGAACAAACTGTCAGTGCTGAGATTTGTTTTAAATAGTTTTGAGCAATATGCTCCAAAGAAAGCCTTGGGACTTCAGATTTTTGCTTTAATTAAAAGTGTCATTAAATGGTTTTTAACTTTTACATGGAATACTCGATATATCAACAATCGATGGTGCTCACTGACATGCAAATACAGAGAAGATACCTGCACACCACTAATGAAAGACAACAAAAGATTAATCTAGATTTCAGCAAATGATAAACAGTGATTTGATTAAGGTAAAATTTCTGTGCTGACAGTTTCTAAAGAGTACAAAGTGGATTTAATCATGCCGGTCTCAAATTGCGGAGCGGCACTATCCAAATACATTGTAGGAACACATTTTCTGGAACCACGGCTTCCTTGAATGAGAAGTCCTCGAAGCGGCTTACATTATCATACACGGTGTAAATAAAGCAGATAACTGGTTGCTATCCTTCAGGTGCCTTTGTGAAATGTTTGATTTGGGTCAGCATTTGGGTCAGCTACATTTTTGTACAAACGTATTCCAGTAATTGTGTAAGACTGGGGAGTAAATGGGACCTTCTTGCCAGCAAAATCAAGCTGCTTCTAAATTAAATAGGGGACAAACCAAGAGGGATTCATTAGGGGACCCACCAGTGTGGGTGTAGATCAAAGGGGATGCAATAGAAGGATGAACAATGGACAGATAGAATAAATAGGGGACAGACCATGATTAATTCCAATATGAATAGAAATCAGACGTACTGCCGGGGTAGGGCGTGATGGGATTTCTGAGTCTACGAGTATAAGGCCAAAAAAAAAAGTCTCCGGTTTCTGGTATGCGCGCGCATCGCCGTAGCCATGCGCGTCGGCAAAATGAAAAAGGTTTTTTTTCAATAAAAGATGATGTCTCAAAACTGCCAAACTCATTGGTTTGACTGGAATCCTGCTGCTGCACAATTTTAACGTGTTTTTAGATGGGATTATGATCGAGAATAAGCTTTATGTGGCCTCTCTGGACTCCCATATATTTGCACTAAGTTTAGTCGGGCACCATTTGCAGTCATCAGCCGACATTTGAAGCAAAAAAAAACAGGTAAAAAAAAAAAAAAAAAGCAGCGTCGCCGCACCACTTTTTGGGCAAGCTCCATACCAGAAACCGGAACTTTTTTTTTTTGGCCTAAGCAAGAAACAAATTTTGGTTTCTAAACTTTTAAGAAAATTTCTGAAAACACACTTTACAATTTTCATTTATTTCCTTAGCCCTAACCCCCTTGGGTGATTTACTAGGAACCTTCCTTGTTCTTACAAAATCTAACACCATATGGTAAACTCAGCACCCAAACTGTTGGACCCTGATTATGGTGGTATGCCTAACCCCATGTAAATCATAATCAGTTTACTAGTGCAGTACTCACTCCAACAGAATCAAGCAAACATGCAGTTGGATTTTGAAGGGTTCAGGTTGGTTAGGGTTAGAAAAGATGTTTGACAGAAAAATGCAGATATTTTCATCTTCTGCAATACTGTTAACAAAGGCTAGTCACCAGTAGTCAGATCATGTGTCAAGCAAGCACTGTGACTAGTCAAACTCAGTCAACAGACAAAAAGTAGGCAAGTTATGGCCACGGCTGTTTTATCACTCGCCCGGAGTCAAAGCGAAGCTGTATCAAATTACTTAAACAGTCCCAGCCAGTCGATCCTGCTTGATATAGACCACAAATTCTTAACTTGGCACAGAATGTATGTTTGCATAGGAGGGTTAATATTGCGGAGCACAAATTGAAAAATCATGAGGATAAATATTTAAACAGGAACAATAAATGTTAAAACTTCAAAAAGTAACGTTCATAATAATCAACTAACAATTTAAGAAAAACTGATAATTAAGAACTGCTAATATCATAAATACGCAATAAACTCATTGAGAATTTGACATTGTTATGTGCTTACTGTACCTTTATGAAAGACCTTGCCCGACGACACCGTGAAGTACCCGTTGTCTTTGAAGTGCTGGGGTAAGGTGGTGAAGTTGCCGGCCGAGTCCCGCCAGTAGCTGGACCTGAAGTCCCACAGGAGGGTGGAGTCTGGCCTGCGACTGGTCAAGAGGGAAATCCTGCTGGGAGCGCACAGGGCTTGCTGTGAAATTCACGAAAGTGAGAATGTATTCACTACAATGTATACGCTAGCGCTGTTGCTGTGATGTCATTTCAGGAAGACACCGTTCACTTTGGGGGTTTTCTGTTCAAATTGTGAACCCAAAATTTGACTTTTGAAAACATTTGTGAGAAAACTTTGCTCATTGGCTTAATGCGAGTTATCACAGAAAACAAACTTTACGACAGCAAAATATCACAAAATATGAAAAATTATTTTGGTACCGAAATAGTAACATTGCGGTTTCTGCCTGAAATGACATCACACATTTGCCCATGAACATGGAAATTTGCAATAGCATAAAAAACACAAAAAGGACCAAATTGCCCTTTAAATGGCAAAATGCAAATGAAAAATAAGGTTAAATGGGACACAAAGGTGCATTTTCAAGTACTGCATTACAAAATTTACATTACATGGGCCCTTTAAGAAGAGAAATTGCCTTGGCCTATACTGTATATGCAATCATTACTGCAAATTGTTCCTATACATGCTATACAATGTATTTTGGCTGCCTATACTACATGTACATGTAGTTCAGGAATCCCGTAATGCAGCCTTTATTATGTGTAAGAGTTTTAGATGGGAATGGAGTCCATCCCATACATATGGGGCCCCCAACAATGGGTCTTTCTTAATCACACTCATGCTTTAATTTTTTAGAAGTGTTTACTTATATGAGAGAAAATAGCAATGAATAACTGGTATGCGAAGGTGAATGAGGAAGTAATCAATTGATGTTATTTTTTTTGAAAATCTAAAATACACGCAGACTAGTGCAACTTGGTGTACCGTATTCGAACATTGATGAAAATGTATGAAATAAGTTTGTAGCGTCATTAGGGGAAAACTGAAAATTAAGTAGAAGACCAAAATGTCTTTTAGAGCTTACAATTTTTAAATAAACCTAAAGAGCTCATTAGCATAATTAGGAAAACAATCTAAAGTGACTGCTACTAAGGACTGCAGTCAAGCCAGCCTGATTTAATCTAGAACCCATCAGCTGTAGGTACATGTAGGTACATCTTCGCGTCATTATACATCATTCTGACACAAGTACATGTACGCGATGTGAAAACAAACATGAACGAACAAGGAGACCGAGGAAGAAAATGCCAGATGGTAAAATTGGTAAAATTGCAACATGAATGCTTATTGCGATTGTTATGGTTAGAAATAATTCTGCCAAAAACTATAGCTAGAGAAAGGGCAACCCAGTGTAAAATGCCCATAGGTGGGCCGCGTGCAGGTTATGGAAGAATGACGCATGCAGGCCTGCCAACTCTCACGCATTGAGCGTATGACTCGCGCATTACAGGTTATTCTCACGCTGTTACGCCCATAAAGGATTTTTCACGCTATAAAAAACCTCAAAAATGATGGTGTTTTGCTAAAACAAAATTGGTTGAAGTGGTCAGAAATTGTCTCAGATCGCACCACAGAGCGTCTAGAATCATTCTAGACCTGAATCCAAAATTTCCCAGGGCCCTTACATTGTACGTTGGCCCCATATCCCAAGCCGTTAGAGCTTCGCGCTCGCATTAGTTCTGATCAAGCTGCCTTGCCAAATCCTCACTCTCAGCTCTCACTCAAAGTTGGCAGTCCTCGCGCATGACCTTAGGCCTATACTTGCAAGCTCTATTAGGACAGTGACAGGTCGCACATGAGGGTTACATAGGTAAAAGTATAGACCACATTTCATAGGAGTCCCAATTTCAAACGATACCGGTCCTAATCCCTGACACGCTGGTCAAGCTGCAGCAATACAGTACAGTGACAAGATGAATCAAAGCCAGTCCCGATTGTCTTCTACATTGAGCCCATTGGAACTATTGGACTGCCTGGCTGGCACTTTAAGGGGAAAATGGGGACAGCCTCCTTCCTTTTTAAGAAAAGGCCGGACACAAAACTATTTTCTCTTTTCAATTAGCTTACACCTGATGGACTCTTACTACATGTACATGTAGTCCGAAAATTTAGGACTCTCCGTACTGTGTATGAGAGTCCCAAAACTTAAGTTATTGAAAACATGCAAGAAAATAGACTGGCACCTGAAACAACCAGTCCAACACCCCTTCAGTACTGCATCAATCAACTGAATGAAGTGGTCAGTCTTTTTGGACCATGGTTGGACATATACCTGTCTTAGAGTCATAAGCCTCATTTTGAAATCACTTGACTTCCCTCTCGTGTGCAAAATACTGAAGAAAAGTTTCCTTTAAAAATTGAATTGAGTCTTCAAACTTGGTTGGTAACATACTGAGGACCTTTTTTTGCCCAATGAAAAATTTGCAGGATTTTGCTGGCTAAAGAGTGAGGCCAAACAAAAAAAATGGTGTGTTTACAGTAACCCGACCGACCTGGAATTTTTTCGGCCAAATTGCCTTTTTATTGCCATTTTGAAGGTTGATAATTGACAAATTTCAAACATTTCAAGTAGTTTTAATTATTTGCCACGAACAAAAAACATTTTCCACACTTGAATCTGACCATGATTTGACACAAACATACCTGTGTTAAACGTGCGAAAATCGCGACGATCTCAAAACTTGAATTCTCAAACTACGAAGTACGATTATTTTTGCACAAACGCATCAGGGTACGCCTGGCTGCCCGACGGACGGCATGGTTCTCCCCACGTACATGTACAAACGTGCGTATCGGCCCGATATGCTGGAATCGCGGCCGGCCCGATACGCCTACAAAAAAATGCCGATCACATTTTTAGCCCCTGGTACGCACAATATAATTATCATACACGCCATTAAAATGCACAATTTGATCGTTACATACGCCATTATTTCATCTTGACATGCAAAATCTTGACCAAAATCCTGTTTTTCCGATGCATGTGTGATCAAAATGCACACGATGACGTGTTCTGTTGACCACCAGCAGCACCCAGCTAACATACAGCATGGTACACTGGTTCCCTTTGCCAGCTAACGGAATCAATGCTATGATGAAGGACCGGAACAAGTGACTACTGCCTCTCTCCGGTCCATACTTCGTATACAGCATGATGATGTAGTGGGCCGAAGTTGGATCGTAAAAATATTAACAAACAAACATCGCTGGACATGCTGGAGAAAGAGAATTTCTGCGAATTAATTCACAGAACGTGATCTTTACTTTCTGTGTATGTGTTTTCCATTAAAATGACGAGATTGCAAAGCTCGAACTTGTGGCGAAACATCGTAGCGTGTTTCTGCAGTAGTGCAAGATTTTCGGCCACGTGGGCCGTGAGCACGGCGCGATGTTCGGCCAGCCAGGCGGAATGTTGGCGGTGCCAGCGGCCGTGATGTATGTTAAGCATAAAGTGGAATCACCGACCTCAAATATATTTTTAATTAGGTGAGGCAAGTTTTAATCACTTTTGATAGCCAGTCTTGATCATTTTCGTGGCGCAAATGAAAATAATCCAGGCACAAAATAAACATGATTCCTTGTTCTATGATTAGTACGAATGATGCTCCATTAATCAGCACCCCAAAAATTGGCGAAATAATTTTCCGACCTACTGACGCTATTTTGAAAGGCATGTAATCGGAAGCAAAATTTGTTTTTTTTCTCCACCTTAATTTCTTAATTTGAAACTTACATGTAAATGTAATTCATACTTTTCTAGTTAGGAAGCAATGAAACACAGGTTGTGAAATGTTAATTTTTTTTAAGTTAACAATTTTGATTTTTTTTCTTTAATTACAAAAATATTAGTGACCTACAAGATATCTCCTCTGAATTTCAAGGACAAATCTTAAGATAAAGACCCCCAGATTTGCTCTAAAATGCACCAGAGAGCTTCTAAAGTTTAAAAATTTTCGGGTTGTTGAATCAAAGCAAATCTTCCCCCACATGTTTGAAAAAATCCTGGGGAGAACCCTGGCCGACGATACAAATTAATTTGGATTGAAATGTATCGATTGAATATCTTCAATGCTTGAATAGTGGTTTTATACAATTTTTTTGGCGAAAGAACACGCATGGGCATGCAGAACTGAAATGAAAAAAAAAATTACAAAATAAAATTATTTCCCTACTACCTACCTGGATTTTTTTCAGACCGTTACCGTAAACACACCATTTTTTTTGTTCGGCCTGATGAGTTAGGTTGGCCTGATTTCGTTTCGAGTGTTTTTCAGCACCCAAGGTCCCAGTCTGGACTCCTTCATGGTGCATCCTGCAACTTATTAAATTTCAGCCTATCATTTCTGTATTGGAAAAAAACAAGGGCCCCCAACAACTGTTCAATAAAACTGTCAGTGTACATGTACATGTACCTCGGTGTGGGCATCAGTCATCAGGCATCAAGTAAAATTCCTGCCTGCCATTCCTAGGTTGGAATCAAGCGAGGGCGTCCTACCAGAACAAATGAAAGGCAAGAGACATGTGTACAAGTAGTTTACCTGGGCGTGGGCATCAGTGAACCTGATGGACTGTGCAGCCAGCTGGTCCATGTTGGGCGTGATGACCTGCTCCCCATAGCTGCCCAGGGCCGGCCGAAAGTCATCGATGATCAGGAGAAGCACATTGGGCCTGGAATCTGTCAAGCGATATTTCCAGAATTCGGCAATTTAAGAAGAAAAGTTCAATTTCAAGTGAAACAATTTGATAATTTCTTAATTTCTTAAAAATGGTGAAACTGAGTGAGAGCTCTTAATGGCGATCGTGTAGTGTAGGGCCCCTGTTTTGTTTTAATCAAATTAGAGTCAACAAAGTTTTTTATTGCTCAAAAACCACCTTTACAATCAAAAGCAGACTTTTCTCAATTCTAATGACATGAATGACACCCGTTTTGCAATTTTGAACAGTTTCTTGGGGTAGAAATCATGATTTTCCTGGGCTGTTTGTGCCTAGCGATTCAGCGAGCCGTGTGTGCTCACGGTAGGCCTACATCGCGCGCGTGGTGATCACCCTCTTTATTTTTGGGTTGCGTGTTGTCGCCGCGCTGTCATTGTCATTTTACCCCCGAATTTCCCTCAAAAAATCAAAACCCTGCACTCTATTTATGATAGGCAGTGTATATTTTGTCGGAGACGGCAAACCTTTAGTAAACGTTACTTTGCCGGATATGCACTGAACATGCGCAGTTACTGTTTTTTTGTACTTAAACATTTTCCGGTGACAAGTTTTAGTCTGGCTCCATGCCAAAATTATCGTTGTTACCTCGTATTCACAAGATGGGATTCAGACCATTTTATAATTTCGGACTTTATTTCCCTTTTAAAAAAAAACCTCCAGAGCCACAAATCTGAAAAAGAAAATGTAATACTCTGCAAAAAATGTTTGAGACATGTTAAAATAACAAAAGAAGAATATTCTTATTCATTTGGGGATGAGAAAAAAATTTTTTAAATGTGCTCCGATCGGAATCGAACCCGAGTCATCCCGCTTTCTAGAGCCTTTGCTTAACCACTACACCAAACATTGCTACACAACTTTTGGTGGGAATTTAATACATCTTATAATTCAGCCCTATCTTAAAGAGTACAGCGCCCTCTGTTGATATGGATTACCGCCGGCAAACCTTTAGTAAACGTTAGTTTGCCGTCATTACCTCCGGCAAAATATTCACTATCTTTAGTAATCGTTAGTTTGCCGTCATTACCTCCGGCAAAATATCCATTATCTTTATGATAATTTATATACCTGTTTATTAGCTGGAGTTACCCAGCCCTGAGTTTTATCATTGGGTTGTCTATTAGGGCTGGAGCGCATTTTTCTCAAAACTTGTAGTATTTGCAAAAAAAATTTGGAAAATGTTCAATTTTGTCCCCGTTACACACTAATTGCAACTGCAACTCACCCCAAACTTGCCTGGAATAACCATTACACAGGTCCTTGAAGTAAAAAACGATCCACGATGAAGATTCAGCCTACAATTGCAGTGAAAACAGGAGGAATAACCGCTAACTTGACAACCTTGCTGGATTGGCCAGGACCGCTATTGGTTTGTGCACAAAAAAAATTGTGTACAATGAATGGCGGTCGATTAACAGGCACAGAGAGCGATCGCTGTCAACTACTCGTTTTTGCCGGCTGCGCTGCTGTTGGCGCGTGACGTCACGCGGAAGCGTAACACCCGATGACTGTTTCATGCACTATTGGTTGCGGTTCCAGTACCAAAGCTGTGATGCGAGTGGTAAACCTTATACTAGAGCATGAAACAGTCATCGGGTGTTACGCTTCCGCATGACGTCACGCGCCAACAGCAGCGCAGCCGGCAAAAACGAGTAGTTGACAGCGATCGCTCTCTGTGCCTGTTAATCGACCGCCATTGATTGTACACAATTTTTTTGTGCACAAACCAATAGCGGTCCTGGCCAATCCAGCAAGGTTGTCAAGTTAGCGGTTATTCCTCCTGTTTTCACTGCAATTGTAGGCTGAATCTTCATCGTGGATCGTTTTTTACTTCAAGGACCTGTGTAATGGTTATTCCAGGCAAGTTTGGGGTGAGTTGCAGTTGCAATTAGTGTGTAACGGGGACAAAATTGAACATTTTCCAATTTTTTTTTGCAAATACTACAAGTTTTGAGAAAAATGCGCTCCAGCCCTAATAGACAACCCAATGATAAAACTCAGGGCTGGGTAACTCCAGCTACCTGTTTATTGAGAATGTCGCCTACTAGTTTGGTCGGTCTAATAATTTTTAAGTGGATTTTGTTCCCTTATATAGGAACCGGGCCCTACACTACACGATCGCCGATACATGTACATGCACGTTTTTCACGAAAATGGTTGAACATGACAAATGTGAAATGAACATGATGATTGATGCATATGGCAGTCCACACAACTGACATATATTTGATTGAAATTCTAAATAAAACTCTTACTGAGAAATAAAACGGACATACCGCAGTCAATGACTTTAGCAGCAGTTGAAAGACCAAGGAGGAATGTCACGAGTTGAATATTTGTCATGTTTTCCCTGGATTCCCACCCAATTTTGTCCAGCTAAATTGTAACGAAACATTGTGTCAACTGCATAAACAACATAATGGTTTGACCGTTGAGGGCGCCCTAAGCCTTTAACGGAGTCGCGTCGAGTCACGGATCGCCGCCCGCGATTTTCAGTTGGATCGTGAACTTGTCAGAAATGGGATGCTTTCAAAATTTATAAAAAATTAAAATTCGGTTTTAGAATGGGTTCGGATAATATAACTTCCCGACTATAGGCTTTTTATATCTGACACAGTAATTTTGAGGCGTTAATTATGCAATTAATGTGTATTTTGTTTATTACATGAAATTCAGATACTGAGATGGGGGGGGGGGTGGAATTTAAGCTCTTTTCAGAAGCGGACTTTTTCCACCATTTATAATTACATTTTTTTGTGTAGGCTCTGAGGATGTTACACTTTGTTTACTCTGTGAACCCAACCTCATTCGATGCCATAGTGCGTTGAACTAAACTACTTTTCGTCCCCAAACCGTATCGAGGCAAACTGAGAGGTCTGCGTAAATGTATTGTCTAGGTCTTTTACGAGTAAACACTGCGTGGGAACACGGCGACAAAATGATCGACGCAGTCGTAGCTCAAGAGCTCGTTTAGAGAACACGGCCCAGTATTCAACTTTGACCTGCCCGCAATTTCAAAATTCTGTCAGCAACAAATTCACCAACGAAGCCTACCTGTGGTTCGTTTTTGGTGGGCGTTCTTTCCACATCTCCAAAATGGTTATAGACCTTTTGCACTGCAGCCGTCTTGGAGGCGTATGTTTTTGTTCAACAGGGATATTCATGCCGCATTTTAGCAAAATACATTACACAAGCATGGCATTTGGCACACGGTCAGAGCATGTCATAAGAAAGATACTTGGCTATAGGGCCATCGCAGACTCTTTTGAAAAAAATATAGGTACAATATAGCAAGCAGTTTTCATTTTTTTTTTAAATAGCTGCCATGCATTGCTTGTTATTCTACCTATATTTTGTTCAAGGACAAATCTGCGATGATCCTATAGCCAAAATTAATATCTTCCTTGTGACATACTCTGACTGTGTGGCAAGTGCCATGCTTGTATCATCAAAAGTACAATCCCATCACCTCTCTGCTATACTATAATCTTGTAATGTTGATAGAAACCTCAACCCCGCGTTTTGTCACGGTACTGGCTGCAAAAAGGGAAATAAAAATTAAATCCAGTCTTGCATGAAGACTATAGTGATAATCAGGGTCATGCGCAGTGCAGTCTCTTTTCAATTTCATCATTCCCCCAGCTGGCCGACCAAAAAAAAAGTTGCAATTGTTCTCAGACAATGACATCCAATCGGGTTTGCCCTGACACAGTTTACAAGGACTCGGGAGCTTTTTATTGAAATGGAACAAACAAAAATCATATTTTGTATTCAAATCATTGTACACCAGTTCTGGAACTTTCTGCAGGGGTGTAGGTGAACAAACAACTGATAGAGGCCTCACAGTAAAGTGAATCTCATGATCAGAGTTGTACTTTTTTTCATCTGAGCGGGAGCGGTTAGAACGCATTTTGGTACCACCTGAATTTTCATCATGGCAGCCATAGTTTCGAGTTCGACCATGATTCTTCTTCTCTTCGTCGGATTGCTGGCGATGCCGTGTTCTAGGGCCGAGTACTTCTGCGGCATCCACAACGCCTGCTACATGACGCCTGACGGCTGCTCCTACGGCAATTGCGACTTTGAGGTTGTGTGGAGCCAGCAGGAAAACACCACCAAGTACGACTTCAAGATCGCCGTCAGGACTACCGGCTGGGCCGCGTTCGGCATTTCCAGTGACAAATTCATGGTAAGTAATATAGTCTCACTTTTAGCCACTCACCTCCACACAGTTTAAGCAAACGACAATCAGACTCAACATCTCGAGGATGTACAAATGACCTGGAACTCAGTGGGCCTCTGGTCGAAGTTTATTTCTGATCTTGTAGCACTGAAGATGCAATAAAGCAAGATTTATTATAATTGCAAATTTTGGGAAGAATTGTTTTCCAAAACGCGATAATCGCAATTTTAGAATCTCACTCACTCCTGCCTGCCCAAAGTCAGTTTTGACCGGTTTCTCTCAAGTTAAACACAATTTAAGAAGACAATAAAACGAAAAATGAAGTCTACAAACAGCTGTTATATTGTTTTTATTCTTTAAACTGTAAGACTGAAAAAGAATAATACTGCTGTAAACTGCTCATTGACTGAAGAAGTCCTTGCTAATGATGAAATATTAGGCTGGTCTATTTTTTTTAAATTTCTTTAAACTTTTCCTTTTTAAATGGATAGGCCTGTACCGTGTTTTGGAAATAAAATCTAGGCCTAAATGCTACTTTTATGGACAGCATGGATACCGTTTAATAGGTGGTATCGGTCCGGTTTGGGTTTGGCAGTGCCGGGTCAGGGCGGCGCACCGTTCCCGATGGGCAAATCTTTTTCCCGTTTTGGGCAAAATCTGTTCCCGTGTGGGCGGGATAGTGCCAGTTTTGGGCGGGATAAAGTCCGGGTTTAGGCAAAACTGGATCTGTTTGGATGGACCACAGGGGAAAGGTTTAGGCGACACGGAGCCGATGTGGGCGCGCGCGGCGGCATGTTTTGTGCCTTTGTACTGATTTGGGCGGGGCGCGGAGGTAACTTTAGGCCGGCAAAGTGCCGGTTCGACGGCAAAGTACCAGATTAGCCGGCACAGTGCCGGTTTGGACAGGGAAGACACCTTTTGGCCGGCCACAGTGCCCGTTTGTCCGGCAAAATATCGGTTTAGTCCGGCATAATATCGGTTTGGCCGGCACAATATCAGTACGTCCGGTGTAGTACCAATTTGATGTATCATTATCGAATAGACCAGAAAATGTTGGTATGCATGCAGTGTACATAATGTACATGCAAATCGTGTCGGCTTGGGGTTGGACAACACTGTCGACTACAGTTCTGAAAGTTTAATTTGCCAGAACGCTGATCTGGGACAATACGTACAATATTTGCCGAGGTTGCCAATTTAATAATACACAAAAGAACACAAGTTGTGTGCGATATAGGATGACCTTTATTTTGCCATTACAAAATTGCCGCTTGAGCGCATCAAACAAAATGACCTCCATCGTTTTTAAATTGGCCTAAATGAAAAGGCCCGTGTCACAAAAGAAATTTTGGGAGCTTCGAAAAGAGAATTCGTTGACCAAAACAACGAAACATATGAAGCGTATAAGATAATTTCCGGTGGTTGACGGGACTTTAACTCCTACAATTTTAGAAGGAAAAGTAATAAGTAGTATACTCTCATTTCGGTAAGATACAAAATTTGGGTTTCAAAACTTTTGCCTTCCTTGCTAGTTTGAAGTTACGTTCCCCCATGCTATTTCCGAGTTTCATCCCGAAAATAGAGTCCAAAATTTTTTCACTTTTGGATGAGACGTCGACCAATAAAATTACCCATGGTTAGTTACTGAATTATTACTTTACAAAATTTTGAAAAGGAACAAAGGATTTTTTTTTGTTGGAATAAAACATACAAGTTGAACATTTATTAAAAGAAGAAAAAAACGATCATGGTGAACGCAACAGTAACAGCCTCCGACTGTTCACGTCTACTCGTTTCTACAGTATGTCCCCAAAAAAGTGTCCGTCTGACTATTTTTGAAATAACTACTAAACCATGAGGTCAATTCTGAAAAGTTTTGGCTGTGCAGATACTCCTAAGCCATGGCCTCAACCCCTATGAGTTTCATTTAATTTCAGTCACGCATCACTGCACAATTGTCAATTGATCACAACATTAATGTTGTGGACACTGTGACCAAGTTCCATGCCTTAATCAATTTTTTGTTGTTTTATGTAAGCTTTGTAAAATCCTGCATGTTACGGGAAAAAAGGCTGATGTGGTTCGGGATTGGAATCATTTGCCCTTGAGCATTAAAGTGATGTCTTGCCATGATGACTGATAGCCTGCAAATGATTTCATTCCCAACTGCAGTTCTTTTCACAACATGAAGGATTTTACTCAGCTGACTTAACACAGTACTGAAATTGAATAAGGCAAAGAATTTGGTCGCAGAGTCCAAACATGTTGTTGTGATCAATTGAAAATTGAATTTCATAGGGGTTTACTTGACTGAAATTTATGACTGAAATTCATAGGGGTTTACGCTAAGGATAAGGAGTAACAATCATTTTCAAAATTGACTTCATGGTTTTGTAGTTATCAAAAACAGTCAGCTGGACACTTTTTGGGGGACATAGGCCTACTGTATAATTGTATTTATTTTTCATTATGTATTTGTGATAAAAAGATAAATTATTTGTCATAAGTGCATTTTCCCATTTTTTTTAAAGGACAGCTCATTAGTTCGTGGACTAATTATTGCTTGAGCTACAGGCTATGTATTGCGTTTCTCTCGCAAATGATTTCGCTGCGGAATTTAGACATGAGGGCCCTTTACAGCGACGGAGCGTGGGGAGTTTCTCATTCAAATATAGGCTTGGGTGAAAGAACTGCAATGAAATTGGTTTCTTCAACATTATAAAGGAACACTGTGCAATTTACAACGTACTGAAAATTGCTTGGGGGCTACTAATTTCAAAATTTGACCCCGACCTATTACCAATCGATCACGCACACTGTAATAGGCAAACAAAGGAGTCTGCGCCTAGACTATGTACAGTCTTTAGTACTCACGAAAATAACGAGACTACCAATATTCATTCAGTGAGAAAACTTTTAAAAAAAAATTGAGCAAAGCAATCAACCTCAAGGTACATGTAATATGAAAAAGTTTACCAAGTTCCGACAGAGGCCGTTATTAGTACCCCGCCACCACGACTGAAATGCTCCGCTGCCCCACAAAAAGAAACCACAAAAAAATTAAATTTCATCGGTAGGCGAGGTAGGACTATTTGATTGAACCCCGTCTGGAAAGAAAAACTAGGGCGGGCTTGCCTTTTGTGTCCTTTTCCCCCGCTGCCAGAATGAGGACAAGTCATGCATGACACTAAAGGACACCAGAAGAGAGCTAAATTCTTTAAAAATCCAAGTGGCTGATAATTTTTTTGGGAGCGAAGGGGGCGCTGTAACGATCGACGCAATTCTGGCGAACAAAACTTATCATGTCAGGTCAATCGTTACATTTCAAAAAAGTCTCTTGTTCGTATCGGGTTCCGTTTCTAACCAGTTTTTTTCTCGGTTTTAGGCATTGTTTAAGGCGCCGATAGCAACGAGTGCGAACGGTGTACTCTGCATAATAGTACGAAATATCGCACATTTTCTGCTGGGCAAGCTTTACCTGATGTGAAGTTACAATTAGGCCAACCTGACATGTTTGACACTTTGCAAAATTGGATCCCGAGAAATTCGTTCCCGTGCAAAATATACTACAAGCATCCAAAAATCACCACCCTTTTACCTCGTGTCTTCAACACAAAATCGCTTGCATAGAGTCTGGTTAATACTTTGCTACCGAGGACCTGTCTGTAGGACCTATTGTTCCCTGTTTTGTTCCTAGTTCCCAGTACTTACACAAACTTTTTGCTGACATGTCTCAATAGGTTTGTACACTAAAAAAGGGTTCTCAGGTTGTTTTCTCAAGTAATCGTTTGTTCCAAGTCCTCAGTCGTAAAAGGACAACCGCGGTACATACACTCTCGCCATTTGTACTCCTCTTTGCATTTCACTTGATAGTTACGTTGGTTACATTTGACGATATGTTTTTATCCCAATACAATCCTATTTTACAGGGAGATGATGACGTATACATGTGCATCGTAGAGGGCGATGGGGCCAAATTTGAGCATCGCTTCAACTTCGGCAGGAGCAACATCGCAGGCACTGGGGTAGGTTTCATCACCCACAATGTCGCCCTCTATATTCGAGCTTCTATTAATATCCTATTGGTTGCTAGCCATTTAGGCTGTGCCGCCTCCCCTATAGTTTGAACATGTCCATAAGCTCTCTATTGACGAAGATTGAGGATGTGTTTCAGAGTTTTGTCTTCGAGTCTTGGCCTTCTCTATTAAACCAATCAAGCACAAAAGACACTTATTTTTAAGTGCTCTTGTTTTTTTTTTCCAGACGGGTGTCTTGTCCACGGAGCGCAGATACGTCAATGGCGTAGTCAGCTGCCGCATCGAGCGTGATCTGAGCGTGACCAACAACGGCGTGACCGTCGACCTCACCACCGATTGGTACATGTTCTTCGCAAAGGGTCCTATCCAGTCAGGTAGGCGAACCCATTCGTACTTGGGAATCACAAGCCCCATCAAAATTAATCGCATGTCCATGTAATGATGCGGGCCTTTATCAATATGAAACCTCGTTTGAAAAACGTGTGACTTGACTTGAGACTGCATGGATGATTGGTAAAGAACTACGTGAGACTATAATGAGCACGTGTGGTTATCGCTACTACAGGGTGAGTAACAAAAAAAATGAAACCCAAGTATTGGGACCATTGTTTTAAAGAAGTTCTGCATGTAGCACTTTCAAAATCTAGGTTGTGAAAGCCCAATTCATAAGCTTTCTTTTAGTACAAGAATCATTCAAATCACTCATGTACTTTGCAAGTTACGGAATTTTAAACACAACCACCGTTTTAAGGTTCTGTCCACGGATCACAAAAAAAGGTGTGCGTTCTTTCAGCAAAACGAAAAACAATTCACACACATCCCTATGTGATTTGTTTCGTTTTGGTGAAAGAACACTCAACTTGTTTGCGATCCGTGGACAGAACCTTAAAACGGTGGTTGTGTTTAACATTCCGTAACTTGAAAAGTACATGAATGATTTGGATGATTCTTGTACTAAAAGAAAGCGTATGGATTGGGCTTTCATATCCTAGATTTGGCAAGTACTACATGCAGAACTTCTTTAAAACAATGGTCCCAATACTTGGGTTTCATTTTTTTTACTCACCCTGTACAACACTGATACAAACGTAAATTCACGAGGTGTTTTTTGTTGTTCAGATTTCGAAATAACCCCACACCCCGTACGGTCGCGGAGAATGTGGAAGTGTTTCAGTGTTTTTATGGCATTTTTCCTGAAATATTCATTTCAATTTCCGAAACTTTGGTCAACAAATTATCCACTAATTACAACTCAGAAGTCGGGTTATTGAAGTTAAAAGGGGATGAAGATGACAAAGTAATGCCTTAAATTATTTGAGATCGGCTGACTTTGTGATTTACTTTTATGGAACTGACTATCTACAAAGTTTCCTGTTATTCTAGAGCATCTGTTAGTAGTCCCTGCAACACCTTATTTCCCTTGGCTTTGGTCCACCCTAGGAAGCCCCTTGCAGCACGACAAAATCCCCAGGATCACCAAGGTGAAGGTGGACTTCTCCGAGCTGCCCGTCCTGACTCCTGGCGACCTAGACTATCCTAACACCAACGACAACGGTGCCACGGCCCAGCGAGCAGGTAGGCTTATTGTCGTCAGTGATAGTGTTGAGAATAGTATGCCTAGGCCGTATTTTTTTAAGCAAATGAAGGCGACCATAACAAAAATGTGCACTGTAAAAAATCCCTCCCCTTCCCAGTCAAGGCCAAAAAAATGAACTGGTAAAGCCGAATTGAGCCAAAGCCTATATCTATACGCCGAGGTCACTGAGGACTTTTATCAAAATGGCCGTGAACCAGCCTATACTTTCGCTCGCATCATCGGGTGCACACCGCCCTCTAGAGTCCCTGGAGGCGAAACATGACTAGTACCAGCCACGTGACATATTTCTTGGAACTTGCAAGTTCTTGCAGTATTCAAACGAGTAAAACCAGTTTTAGAGGGGCAGATAGGGAATTTATTTGGGGGAATTGTGCCTTTGATGATACAAGCATGGCATTTGGTACACAGTCAAAGTACGTCTTTAGAAAGATATTTGGCTGTGAGGCCATGCATCGCAGATTTGTCATTTGAAAACATATAGGTAGAACTAGCTCTACTGAGTGGAGCGTTGAATTACGGGTACCCCTCCATACCAACGCTCCACCGATTTGCCATACTTTGGTAGCACCATCACAGTAGCATAGTCACAAACCCACGCGAGGACAAAAAAGACCCCAAAAAACCGGTAAAGAGATTACAAATGAGAGAGACAGTTATCCTGGATTGATCTATACATTCTTGACATTCCATGAGACCCCTTATATTGTTCCCAAACAGCGAACATTTTGGAAAAAAACAGCAAAATAGTCTGACAACTTACAGTTCAATGTGTTTGCATGGAGGCTCAGTTCTTGAATTAGCTTGTCAATGAGGGCGTCTGACGTGACGATTATTACACAAAACAGTCGTAGATAAAGCGCGACTTGTTTTTCTTCGCGATCGAGCAACGACGGTGACGTCACGTCAGACGCCCTCATTGACAAGCTAATTCAAGAACTGAGCCTCCATGCAAACACATGGAACTGTAAGTTTTCAGACTATTTTGCTGTTTTTTCCCCAAAATGTTCGCTGTTTGGGAACAATATAAGGGGTCTCATGGAATGTCAAGAATGTATAGATCAATCCAGGATAACTGTCTCTCTCATTTGTAATCTCTTTACCGGTTTTTTGGGGTCTTTTTGTCCTCGCGTGGGTTTGTGACTATGCTACTGTGATGGTGCTACCAAAGTATGGCGAATCGGTGGAGCGTTGGTATGGAGGGGTATACCCGTAATTCAACGCTCCACTCAGTAGAGCTAAGGTAGAACAAGCAATTTTCAAAATTTCCAAAATGGCTGCCATTGCTTGTTATGCTACCTATATTTTTTTCAAAGGACAAATCTGCGATGGCCCTATAGCCAAATATCATCATGACACTAATCTGACTGTGTGCCAAATGCCATGCTTGTATCATGATAGAACCGGCACTTACATACTTTATTTTCGTTTTGATTCCACAGGTTTTCTGCTGATAATGTGCAGCACCATTCTCCTTCTGATGGGCGTACACATGTAGAACGGATACCGACGTAAACGCTGCAGTGCCTGTATAAACTTGTACCAGATGCATCATACCACAAACGCGTGCACAAGCGCTCAGCTTATAAACACAAAATTCTTCAACTATAATTAAACACGCATTATGGACAGGCAATGAACATGGCACCAAGAACGATATAGCACAGTTTTGATATTGAATATTTTTTTATTACTAAAATTACTGCAGCCCAAAACTGTGATCCAACATTAAGGGGAGTTCTGGTTGCAATTGATAAGATTAGTTTTGTTTCTTGTTGAAAAAAATATGAATGAGCCAATAAAGATCATTTTAAGTTTTGGTGAAGGGAAGAACTAGTAATCGCTTATTTTTAGTAGTTTGATTTCAACAGAAAATATTACCGAAAATATTGCATCTAGAGCGCAATATACAAATGTACTTACTATCACTATACCATAAGACTGACTAGCTGTATGTTTCCACTCATTAAAGGTCCCCCTATATCTGCTAATTATTTCATCTTGTTTTCAAAACCTATTTTCAGTTTTACCTTGTTTAATCAGAATAAACAAATAAAACCTAATGAAATATCCGACTTGAAAATGAAACATTTTGCTCGCGTTTTTATTCTATAGTCATAGCAATTTGAGACCACATTACTCTGGTATTCTGCAAGAACGCAGTAAATTATTCAAATACATGTATTAATAAAATATTATTTTGGAACTGGGGTCTTAAGAATTCCGATGCCTTTATAACTAGCACCCGATGGTGGCAACAACTCCATTTGCAAGCTCGTATATGGACCAATCCTGGCACGATATCAATTCTATCACGAAGGCCCCCTTCAATGGCGAAAGCATTGTGCTAGCTATCGTTCAAATAATCCGTCACGGGGCACTTTCTTTGTCCAATGGGCGTACACAATGGTTTCTCCATTGACGGGTACTGTTTGATTTTCAAAAGGGTTTTGAAGTTATTCGTGTTCAAATAAAGGCATGTCAAAAACAAACTCGACTGATTTCAAGGAAAATCATTCATGCGCATGTTTTCTAGTGTTGAAATTGTTCATCAAGTTCATGATGTGACGATCTCGTTGCCTTTTACTTTCTGTGTTTCCTATTCTTTTCGATCCACGGAGACTATACACTTCAAATCAATTCACAATACTTTTTGTTTCAAGTTCAATTTTGAAATTCACGTGCAAGTATGTACCTATTCAAAAAGCGCGCTCAAAGTGTGACTCGAGTTTGCATCAAATGTACCGCATCATGGATTTCTCTTGGAATCAGTTGAGTTTGTTTTCGTCATGCCTTTATTTGAACACGAATAAATTAAAAACTCATTAAAATATCGAACCAATACTCGCCAGGGATATAGTTCAGATTCCAAGCTTTAAAATGATATAAATATAATGGCGGTACGTGTTTCCCCGCCGACGCTAGAGTCTCGCAAAAAAAAGTTGTATAGGTAAATAATTTATTTTACCAGCCGATCAAGAGGACGTGTAGACAAACAAACAAAGCCATCCAATGACCTGGAATCATAGAGAACAAAAGCAAAAACATATATATTACTGAAAGCTTTAAAATAATGCTAATCCAGATTTGTATTTAGTTCCACCAATTAAATAAATTGTGGAAGTAATCTCTTATTATGTATTTGAGGTTTTGGGCGTTCTTTGCTATTTCAAGTTGGACACCAAAAAGAAACACTGATTGAGCGCAATGCATGCCGTCTTTATTTTTTTGTGTGAGTTTTCCGAAGTCGTAGCAGTCGATTCGTACCACTAGCCAGGCAAAATCCTGACACTCCTGCACCGCGCTCTATATGCCGGTTTCTTTGGCTATACTAGGATTTCAGTGTCGTGTACCGATTAGAATTTACATTGCACTGACCTGTGAGTTGAATAGCGGAACTACCGTTGTCGCTCCCCGTCTCATCTTCACTTCCTCCCCCGTCACCCTGACCGGGTGACGGGCGGCGAGATTCGCCCAGGACAAAGACTTCATCCAGGGAGGACAGACTAGCTTTCATGTCGGTGATAGCGGGGTACACGGAGTGTCGAACTGGCTGTCCTGAAATACACGAAAAGGTTTTAAGAGTGCCTGGGAGTGAGTAGAATGGATCCACGCGATAGCATTGGGTCTTGTATCCATCTCTCAGGAGTTGCAAATCAAGAGTTGCAACGCCAGGGATGCTGACTATACTATTGGACAGTGTTCCAAAATATACGAAACTGTGATTGATTCCAAAGCAGTCCTGATATACCGGTCGACATGCATCATGGTCGCTGCCGTACCATCAATTGGTTGTACAGCAGCGACAAACTGTCGTGACTCCGATCCACAGCAAAATATGAAACAAATTCATCAACAGACATTAATCTGACTGTCCTATCTTATGAAATATGACAGTGAAAAGTGAGGGGCAATTATTTTATTTGAGAATGGCTATCCGTCGATGTCCTTACCCGATGACGAGATTGGCCCCTGAGCGAAGAGCATGAACCAATCAGATGACAGGTCAAAGGTCATGTGGCTGCTGTTGAACACAGTGAGGTCACGTGTCACGGAGCACTGGAGTATGCCGTCTGTGAACGATGCACTGTTCACGGTGATGCCTTCCTGTGAAATAATGTTTGCAGAAAAAAAATCAAATTTGAATCGTGATGCAGATATCTCATTTTATGTGAAAACCATAACAAATTTCCTTAATAGTCATGAAAAGCGGCAAGAAATATAAGAAAGACGCAATGGGATGCGTCACTGGGCTGGGTTATGTAGGACGCAAGAACTTTACCGCTTCTGCTGGCAGGTTGGAGTAGCCGTAGTTGTAGCGGTGTTCGAACCGTGCACCGGTGGAATTGGCGCCCGCGCCCGGAGGGTCGGCTATGCACATGAGGACATCATCACCTGCCTATCAAATAGAATATAACAGGGAATATAACATACTCATTAAGCCCGGTTCATACTCGGCGCGAAAGCGAAAGCGAACGCGAATTTGTGACGTCATGGCAAGTATATTCGCGCTGCGAATTCGCAAAAGTTGAACACGTTTCAACTCGGGAAAATTCCGCAGCGAATGTTTCATGACGTCAAATTCGCTTCGCATTCGCATTTGCATGAAGTATGAACCGGGCTTTATACGGTGTTGGTTCAGCCTACCATATCTAGGAATAGGACTCAAGCCCGGTTCATACTCCACGCGAATGCGAAGCGAATTTGACGTCATGAAACATTCGCTTCGAAATTCGCCCGAGTTGAAATGTGCTCAACTTTTACGAATTCGCAGCGCGAATAATTGACACCACGTCACAAATTCGCGTTCGCTTTCGCTTTCCCGACGAGTATGAACCGGGCTTAACCCAACCATTATACTCGTACCACAACATATTGAAATAACATGTACGACATAAATAACATTCAAGGCACCTTTTGTTCTGAAAATTTCACTGCGAAATAAAACCGTCACTCTTTCTCTTAATTTCGCCGACAAATCAAAGCACGTTAACAAATTCATCACGAAGGCCCCCTTCAATGGCGAAAGCATTGTGCTAGCTATTGTTAAAACAATCCGTCATAGGGCAGTTGTTTTGTACATAGCGTGCACAATATAGTTCCTCCATTGAAGGGGGCCCCGTGAGTGTACAGTGGTCCCCTCAGCCCGGATTTGTCTATAGGTTGGCGCGGACATCCAAAAACTTCTCAAATCTCCCTTTCTCGATCCCACGGACCCATTTCCATGCAAGTGAATGGTTCTTAATTGAGTCCAGCGTGCTGAGTGGTAAACTCATAGCAACCGATGAATACGCACGTACTAATGAAAAGATGTTTCCACGAAGCTGACACAATGCTGCGCTGCCCTATATGCGTAATAAATGAACACTGACTACACATCTACATGTTCATAATGAAGTAATGAAATAAAACGACGCTTCATTGTTTAAACAAAGCTTTTCCAGTACAGGCCTAGTCATTACAACTTATCGTCCAAACCTATTAACTTATTCACAATACGAAGTGACAACTGACTTCATTCTACACGGTATGAATCAATCAACGTGTCTCGGTCACCAACCATTGCCTGGTCACCGGAGAATCCGACGGCCACCCACCCGTTGCTCCTACCGCGGAACGCCAGCGTGATCTCATCCGTGTCTTCGTTGACTGACCACTCAGCAGCGTAGTCGCAGAAGCCTCACAATTTGGCCAGATGACATTTTACTCCGTGTACTGTCTCTGACGGAATGCTTTGATCATGCAAGAACGATTCATGACCCTGCAATAATATTTTGTGTGGGTATGCTTTTGAGCACTTAACAAGGGACGTGTTTTTAGTGTCACTTGAACCATGGAGGTAGAATTTGAACATACCTCAATACGTAATGGTCGTTGCGCAACACACTTCACACAACAAAAGCACGAAGCTTAGGCTTTAGTGATTCTTTTTTCTTCAAAATCACGTCCCTGGTGTGGGAAACTACACGTGTGACAATCCTCCCACGATGATCACAACCAAGTCACGGATACATTCAGTTTCTGTACAACAAGGACACAAGTAGAACAGGCAAACGTTGAAAACAGAAAATACAATGAATCGGCTCGCACTGGGAAACAACTTGAAAAGTTCGAGAGGCATCTTGTCAGCAAAGGAACGAGGTTTCAGAAGGGCCTACTTTATAAACGTATTAAACGAGGCCCTGTTAACTCTCAATCAATAACAATCCCAAGGTTCCCGATACAAAGTTGAACTAACGGTTACACCTCTATGTTCCGACACCCCTATGTTCCGACTGCACATATTCCTAACCCTAACCCTAACCCTAACCGGGAGTAACACAATCTAGGTTGTCGGAACATAGGGGTGTCGGAACATAGAGCAGTCACCGAATTAACTGTTGAGCTCAACTCATGGAGTATATACCAGAAATAATGCTCCGCAACCATAATTTATAGTGACACCCCCATCCCATTATATCGTGCACGATTTGAGACAAGAGAGGTACTTCCAGTATTTCTACACCCTATTCACACTCTCGACTATTGTTACCGAACACCCCCCCCCCTAGATATCTCAAAAGAATTCCACAGATTCGGGCAACACAATGACCAACACAAATGAAGGAGCTATCCTCTGTCGCATATCTTGCTTCAAATGCCCTCCCAAGATTCTGTTGGACAAAATTTGAACTCCCGATAAGGCTCACGGAGCTGCTATAAAGCATTAACATTAACCTATTGCGTCATTGTGGCTAGTAAATTGTTTTTGCTTAAGGCAAATATATCTCACGTGCTACGCAGCAAGCTCCAACCATTCCGCTTGGAAGTGGGAAAGTGAACCGTTACATTCTACCGTCTCCGTTATGATGTCATCGTCTTGACAAAATGTTCCTGCTGGTTGCATAGAAACGCTGCATAGCACACACCACTATATTTACCTGAATGAACTCTCAGACCCATATAAGCTTTACCAAGCACACGGCACTGTTTGCCAGTGCTTGTCAAATTAGCCGTATAGAGTGCATCTACCGGTTCAAGAATCAAGACTTCACCCTAAATGAACAAGCGTGTCAGAGAAAATGATAAACAAAAGTACTGCTGTTAAAGGTTAACCACTAAAACAAATTGCTGTTGAGACTTCCTATTCATTTTTTTAGTAATATTTTACTATAAAGACAGGCGCAGGCCAAAACATCAAATTACTTTCTAGGTCTCGAAATGATTCGCAGCGATCGGACTATTTCCCAGGTAGCATAAATCAGCCATGCACAGGCCCCTGGATGTATTTTGAATGTTCATGATCCTCTTGTTAAATGGACCATTAAAGGGAAGATACAACATTTGCAAACATCAAAAAACGAAATGATCAAATTATCACGAAATACCTTACTGGATTGTTAGGGATTGACAGTCTAAAGCATCCTGTAAAATGATGGCTCCTGGTGTGCTGACATTTTCAAGAAAAACTGTATTTTTCCAACGCTGGTCGGCCGACCCGCGGTGGAGAAAACTGGCTTTTTTTCAAAAACTGCTCCTAATTTTTCATATTTAGTTATTCCGCATTTTCTTTGCAATAGATTACACACTTGTGAAGGGGTACAAGCCTGCTAATGCTAGACTGATTCTCTGACCTTACAATTCCCTAAAGTCTTTACATTTCTCCGTTTCATCTTAAGTAGGGTCAGGGAACCAGACTACAAGAACATGATTTGTTGTCTTGGTTTTTCCAGCATATACAAGCCCAAAACGTGAAACAAGTCAGTTTAACAATATTTGCTATAACATACTAATCCTCCAAATCGATATATTTCTGAAAAGTGCAGCAAAAGCAAATGTTGTACATTCCCTTTAAATCATGCATGTGTGTCCTGGATGATGGCTTTTAATGATGTATGGCTCGCCGACCGACTCGCCAAATTAAGATTGCACATGCATCACACAATACTCAAGGGTCGTTTGTCACTTTGTGACAGCGCGGTTGAGGCGTTTCCCACGCGAAGAAGAAAAAAAAACACGGAACGGGGTTATCACCATTTGAAACGCAGTAGTACCGTATATTAACTTAATGCTTTCTAAAAGCTTGCATTGATATACAAGGGGGACAAATCGCTGACTTACTCGAATGGGATTCGAACCCACGACATCCGGTCGATTATTATATATAGATGAGGCAAAAAGCCTTACCCGAAACTCATTATTTTAGCAGAAACTTTGCTATCTGCTACAAAGTCATGGTGCAGCAACCCAGTGGCAAATACATTTTCTTTGTACTGTACCTGAAGTAACTTGGAATAGACAGGTCCATGCCTCACACAGAGGCTGGGCTGTATATCAATGTTTCTAGGAGTGGGGAGGGGGGGGGGACCGAGGTATCCTGCCGGTGCCCACTCGGTTCATATTGGTTGACATGGTTTTGCCAGAGTACAATGTAAGGACTTTGTAGACACCAATCTGTTATCTCTATAACGCTACCAAACTACCAAAAGGAGAAGCCCTATAGGTTGATGAAATCTAACAAAGTTAGGTGAAGTGATGAATAAATCAGTGTATTGACATGTGTGTCTGTCACCCCAAAGCTCTGTTTCCCTCCAACTTATTTAATTGTTGACTCTAATGTTTAATGAACTGCCATTAGGGAACGCAACAATACTGTCCCTGGCTCCCAATAAGCAAGAGCATTATGTATGAACTCCCAATTTGAAGGCACGAGGAGACAGCATCCAGGCAGTCTGAAGTCCTGTGTCCGGAAAAAATGCGGACACTTCAAACGTCCGACCTTTAATGCTTTGTAGTATACAACTGACTTCCATTGATAAATGCTGTGAATGGGCCAGGGAACATCTTTAGAATAATAGAGTAACCGAGAACCATCGTGAAAGGCCAAAAAAAAACAAAATATGGGCCGACAAGCTTGATTCGATTACTAACAATCACGGCAGGCTGAACTTATACCTCTAAATTAACGGAACGAATACATCACGATTGGAGGGTAAGCATCGAGAAATTCGTTAATGATTTCCAAAAGCAATCTACGGGAGAACGGACGCGGTTGCGGGACTCACTCGAGATGCCAAAGGGGTACCGGCCGGAGCGGGCATTTTTTTTAGTGGTGTCGACGCCCAACGACCGCGACACGTCTCGGGCCGACGCGACCCAAAATGCATAGCTCCGTCGGCATGCTGTCTCGGTGACCAATTTGGCTCAGTTTCCACATGAAATGTCTGTTTATATACATGGTTAACAAAAGAACGTCAAAGTCACGAGTGGATAGCCAATCCTGAATGTTGTATAAGTTGAGAGGTCGAGTTGATGTATTGGTCGGAGATTGCCAGTACACCATAACGGGCTCGAAGTACGAGGGTTTTGATTGTCACCAGCCGCGGACGGGTCGAGCCTCCTGCCCCGGCAATTAATACCGGAGACGCAATCCAATTAAACGCCGTTTGCTGGATGTTGATTCATCAATCGACAAACGCGATAGAGAGGTGACGGCTTTCAAACACGGTGCTCAACGACGCCTCGATGAGGAGCGCTTTTCAACAAGTCGCGAGGCGATTTTACCAACATTGTACCGTACATTGCGGTTTTTAATGTTTTGCAGCAGGATCCGTCATCAGTCTGCACAGGAAACTATATGACACTAGTGTATGGATTGAGACTTTGAGATTGGTAAAAATGGAAAAGTCTCGATGGAAATTTGTCTGAAAATGAGCATCTGGAGCATGAACGACAGCTGCATGCATCTTAAGATGGACTGACTAGGCAAGATCGACGCATCAATAATGTGAGAAGTACTTGATGACAATCATCGGAGTCAGTTAGCATATGGCATTGCTCTACTTGAGGATAACACGCCAGACAAGATGACCACAACTACCAACAGTACTGATACAAGCATTCCTGGCACGGATGAAGGTATCACACAAGCTGAGATCGTTGTCTATGTGATTATACTGGTCATCGAATCAACTACCTCGATACTAGGTTCCGCCCTGGTCTGCGGGACCTTCATGTGCGTTAAGACCTTGAGTAGCAAACCCACCAGCAAGCTGATAGTCAACCTGGCAGTGAGCGATGCGGCTATGGGAGCCCTGGTGCTACCCTTTACGGCCGCGACTGTGGTAAACCAGGATTGGATCTACGGTCACGCACTGTGTCAGATCCAGGGACTCCTGAAGACCTTTCTGAGTCAGGTCCAGCGCTCTACTATGCTCCTGATTGCAGTGGACCGGCTGTTACGGATCAGGTACCGCTACAGCTACGGGATGAACCGGACGAGGGTTATGCTGTACCCGATCCTGATCACTTGGGCGTTGAACCTGGTTTTGGCGGTACCTCCGCTGGCAGGCTGGGGGAAGTTCACCTGGCTGCCCAACAAGCCCTCCTGCACCGTGGACTGGCTGGACAGCCTGTCCTACTCCATCACCTTCTTGACTGTCTTCGGGTTCGCCCTACAGTTTCTCATCACTGCCTGTTATTTTCTGATCTTCGTGGAGGTGCGCGCCAGCAGGAGGCGCGTGCAGCAGTCGGCCATGCTCAGTCTCCGCGCCGATCGACCGGCGTCATCAGGACCGGCCACCGACCGGTCCAACACACCGGTTGCCGGCGAGTCCGCCCCACCGGAAACCGGCCGGCGCAACCCTCCAGCCAACCCCTTCATGTCCAAGGAGGAGGTGGCCGTGGCCCGGACTATGATCATCCTTGTCACCCTCTCCACCCTCCTCTCCTTGCCGTACATCATCTCCAACCTCATCTCTCTCATCATGAACGCTCATCTGTCCTACCGGAACGAGCTGATAATCTCCATGACGGTGTACCTCAACAGCTGCCTGAACCCCGTGATATACGGGGCCACCAACTCTCGTTTCAGGCAGGGATTCCGGACCGTGGTGCGATGCTCGTGTCGTCGCCAACGCTAAACTGTTTGGATGAAAATACTATTAAATGGAACGCTTAAAGATTCATTCCTCGCATTTTGAGATTTACCCGAAAATAGATGTTTTTCAATGGCAATTTTCCTATACATGTGTTCACTTTTGAATAAGATCCGCCGACGTTTAGATATTGAAATATTACTTTACAAATTCCAGTTATTTGTGGCCCGACAATAATTATTCGGCTCTCGCAGATAGAATGTATTATTTTGTGCGCAAAATGAAAACCCCTTTTCAGAGTGTTGCAGGCGTCCAAAATCGGGAAAAAAATCAGCTTTTCGTTGAAACAAAACTTTCAAATTAAAATTTCGTTAGAATGTTTTTTTTTAAAAGAACACGGGGCTCACATCTTTAACAAACTACTCTCATCATTAATTATTGACAAGTAATAGCAATAACCTTTATGATCCAAGCATATACGACGTCTGATGAACGAGTGCATAAAGTAACGAGATAAAGATAAGATACAATACAAGATTACAAAAATTTCGCGAGAAAACAAAAACTTCTGTGGAAATTAATAAAACTCCAACACAACCAGCGGTGTAAGTTTTGTTCACAACTTGATAAGACTAATTATCAAAGTAATCGCATTAGATCGAAATACTCGCCTAACAGAGACAATGTTGAATTTACGAGTCATAATAAACAAACGCATGGGCTGCAATTGCATACATCCTTTTTATTGGAATCAGAGATTGCATAAGTAATGAACAACACAATTCTTTAAATTATAAATTATTTTGTCAAAATGTAATAATTCCACTAATACATTAATAACGGTGAGCTTATAAAAACGGGGCAGTGCAGGATCTGGCACTGTGCTGTGACCGGAGAAAAAAAGGATGATATTTTGATTGGTGTGGCATGGTACAATTGAGCTAATCATTAAGAGGGTATAGGTGGGATGTACAGATTTGTAAGTTAAAGGAAGAATATATCATTTGTCATTTTGCGAATTTGTTTTTCGTTTGAAGCAACAAAAAGTGCTCAAAATCTACGGAAGGGTGCTCAACAACTAACATGATGAAGTTATAAACACAGTGAATGTTGCATATTCCGAGAACACAATATTCTAGGATCTCGATTTCAATTCGAAAGTTGCCGAGTCATATTTTCATTCAGTCACGTTCTCATTCAGCCGATTGCAGCTACGTCATGTCACGCGCTGAACTGACGAATCAACCACGTGTGCGTTGTGTCAACGCTGCTCGTACCCATTCACGGCTTCGCCGAGTTTAAAAAAAACAAATAAAAAAAAATGCGTCTTTCGACGCATCTTTGGAAATTACCTTCTTTTATCGTTTTCTTCAAAATGACAGCTTGCCAGAAAGAATAATTGCACAGGGAGTTTAGCCCCATTACCATCTTTAAACCAAGTATGCTTTTCAACAATAATTTCGTCAGTCACTTTTTGGATAGCTGCAAATGATATACTCTACCTTTAAAGAAAAAAAGTGAAGCACATTTTGAAGTGTGTGTGTTCCAACAGGGTTAATTTTGCATGAGCTAATAGATGTTTTCGGGGGGGGGGGGGGGGGGACTGGTTAACCCAGCCAGAGTGGGAGGGTTTTAATGATCAGTTAATATCCAATGTTGGGCCGTACTTTGAACCTAAGACAATCTTTCTCTTTCCCAAATACAAACTGTGCCATTTAAAATTACATGTACTGTCATTAAAGTGTTACAATATTACACACAAAAAACACACACAATTCCCAAAACTTATGAGTACATGAAGAATGTGCCTTATTCAGCACAGTGCTGGCATATGGTCGGATACATGTACCTATTAGGCTCTTTGTGATTGACATTAATTTCATCTTATTGCAGGTGTTTTTTTTAAGGTACAAGGCAAAAACAACTGTCCACAAAAAGGGCACACCACAATTGGATAGAAAACGTGCATCAATTGTGGATTCTAGTTTCAAAGAGAAATATGCGTTTTCAAAAAACAAGGGTGCTGATGTTAATGAACTGGCAATATTCCAACACCCAGTAATTTAAATAAAAAGGAGTAAATATTTAGTTTATATTCCAACACCCAGTAATTTAAATAAAAAGGAGTAAATATTTAGTTTCAAATAATTTGATTCTCATATTCGTCCTTATACAATTAAATTATAAAATCCCCCTCCTAAAAACTCAAATTGTTTTCTTATATGGAAATTACCCTGTCCCATTGTAACAGCTTTATCCAGAAATTGATTAGGTAAATTATTACCATACAAAACACGAAGTCATTATGCATACACTGTATTTACTTACTAACAATAGTAATAAGATCATTCAAAGTGGTTTTTCTTCCAATTGACTGTTTGAGATGAATGGCGCCCTCTATTGACGAAAATGAGCATTTATCATTATTTCATCCAGTTTTTGGTCACAGCACACACGTTTTTTCAAACTCCCAATACAAGGAGGTTTCTGTCCTTCAAGTAAAGGACACTTATATAATCAATACTTCAAATTTCGAAATTTGCTGGAATTTGTCCTTAAATTTGTTGGGTTAATTTAAAAATGTGAAAATAAAATTCAACTGACCCACTTAAAAAAAACACCCATGTTTTAAATCTTATCTTAAAATCTCAACTAATAGTACAGTATTTCAAGCTGAAACTGGCCATTAAATATGATCATATCCACACTGTTTGGACATGGAAGTTGTCTTCATTGCTGAAAGTAGATACAACTCTTGGCAAAAGTTTTTAATGCCTGACGATTGGTTCGAAGCACAATTATGCTGGGGGGGAGGGGGGGTTTGAACATTTAGAAATATTACTGCAAACGGAGGGCATATCAGCACCATTCCATAATGCACCCGTCCGGTGCATTTCTCATGCAAAGAAACAACAACTTCATGCGCATTTACTTCAAAACTTCAAACACTCTGTGAGCCATTCGTCCAAACTAAAAACAACCACCTATCCCCCCCCCCCCAAAAAATATAAAAATAAATATAAATAATAAAATAAATAAACTTGCACATCTGCCTTGCATTGATACACCAGTTTACATGTATTTAATGAAGAGAAGTAGTCGAGTCCAACACAAGTCCTCCAGTCCCAATTCAACTCACAAAATATTCAAATGAGCTTTGACAAAGGCATTCCTTTGTTATTGTTCATCCACTGTAACTTGTGACTGGACTTGTGACTGGACTTGTGACTGGACTTGTGACTGGACTTGTGACTGGACTTGTGACTGGACTTGTGACTGGACTTGTGACTGGACTTGTGACTGGACTTGTGACTGGACTTGTGAATGGACTTTTGACTGGACATGCGACTGGACTTGCGACTGGACTTGCGACTGGACTTGCGACTGGACTTGCGACTGGACTTGCGACTGGACTTGCGACTGGACTTGCGACTGGACTTGCGACTGGACTTGCGACTGGACTTGCGACTGGACTTGCGACTGGACTTGCGACTGGACTTGCGACTGGCCTTGCGACTGGCCTTGTGACTGGACTTGTGATGGATTTGTGACTGGACTTGCGACTGGACTTGCGACTGGACTTGTGACTGGCCTTGTGAATGGCCTTGTGACAGGATCTGTGACTGGACTTGTGACTGGACCTGTGACTGGACCTGCGATTGGACCTGCGACTGGACCTGCGACTGGACCTGCGACTGGACCTGCGACTGGACCTGCGACTGGACCTGCGACTGGACCTGCGACTGGACCTGCGATTGGACTTGTTATTGGACTTGTGACTGTAACTGGACTAAAGATGTATTTGCGATGGACTTAACTACATCCCTGATATACAGGGTGTCTCACACACAAAAAACGAACCCTCAAAGCGCCCTCTTTTCCACAGGTTTTTAAAACATACAGTCCTTCAAATTTGAGGTGTGTGATCGCACACCCACGCCATCGTATGCCTAAAAGCTTCCCGAGAAGTGTGAATAATTGCACGCCTGAACCTCCCTGGACTGCAGAATCACACACCTAGAAAACCACACACCTAGAAAAACCACATGCCTAGAAAAATCCAGGTGTACCTTTTTCCACACGCCTGTGATTTTCAAATCAGAAGGACTGAAAATACATCGCAAATATCGATACACATTCATTTAGAGAGTATATCTCATTAGCTTTTCAACACCATATAAATATTTATTGAGTTATGGCCAATTGAATACAACTACCGCTTTTTTTTTTCGTTTTGTCCACGGCAACTGATATTTTGACTGCCGCAATAAGAACATGGTCCAAAACTTGCATTTCTTAAAAAGGCTACCAAGTAGAGGGCAGAGACAGAGCAGCACAGTAAACATCTCAGAAGTTAACCAAACAGTCCTTTTCAGGACTACCGTTACTTCCAAAAGGATAAATGACCATTGTTTCAAAAAATTAAAAACATAGAAAGAACCAAATAAAGACAGATTAATACATTGAAGAAAGCAAAAATACCCTCATCCCAAACCCATTAAATTCCTAATAAATAAAAATTGAGACCGTGGACAGATTGAAAAATCGGCACTCATTTTGAATTTGCCATAACTCAATAAATATTTACCCGATTGGAAAGATTTTTTCAGGGTTGAAAAGCTAATGTAAATACTCTTTAAATGAGTATCGATATTTGCGATGTATTTTTTAAAAAGCTGTGAAAAAGAGGCGGCTTTGAGGCTTTGTTTTTGTTTGTGAGACACCTGTATACGCAAGTACCGGAGTCTCCAGGTCAGGGCCTAAAATCTCGTGAACCCTTTTCTGGAAACAAAGCCAAAGTTTGGGAACATGCTTTGGAATTTTTTTTTCTTTTGGAACATGCTTTGGTATTTTTTCTTTCAAAATAAAGCACATCATGATCACACACCATCTCAGAACTGACCAATGCAAAAAAAAGTTCTACCACTGACATTTAAACCCTTACTCTAGGATCAGTCCATAGATGTGGGGTCCAAAAGTGTGACATTTGTGTCTCCCTGTTACACCTGACCTGTGTAATTTGCTATACAAGTATCATTAAAATTGACTTCAAACTATTAATTAATTGGCAGGTCTTTTGCTTTACATAATCACTCTTGGAGAAGGCAATAACTGTAATCCTGCTAAATGCAACAGAAAGCAACAAAGGTTAACAGTTGTTGCATACATGTACTGTTGCATTTTTTAGTTGTTGCATACTGTTGCATTTTTTTTAGCAGCACACTCAAGTCCCGTGCTTTGTTGTATCTTGTTGCATTTAGCAGGGCAACTGCTCATACCGGTAGGTCCAAGGCCATTTAACACAATCCACTGTTGCAGTTCCACTGTTGCATTTAGCAGGGTAACTGCTTGGTGCCAAGGCTGGTATGCACTGGGTTCACTGCACATTGCAACAGAAACCACTGTTGCAATTTGTTGCATATAGCAGGGCTCTCATTTCAGCCGAGTTGCATTTTGTTGCATTTGGCAGGGTGGCCAGAGAAACCTCTTGGGGATAAGGGTTAAAGAACGTGTCCTAAATTTATAAAATCTTATATCAGATGAAACAGGTGCACGAGACAAATTGGGATCCCACATTTATGGACCGACCCTCTACTTCACCCTCCAAAACGTATTTGCTTTAAGATAATGCCCACCTTCACTGTGTGGACATCAATTAATACAGGCGTGATGAGCAGCCACACCCCCTAAGGAAGGCCAAGCAGAATCCTCTGATGAGCAAATGAGCACTCTCCAAATCACTCTCTAAGAGTGTTTGCTGATATGGGTTTGGATCCTCCAATACACTTAGTTTGGGAGATATACTGGCATATCTGACAAGCTTGCAAATATCTGACAAGCTTGCAAATATCTGTCAAGCTTGCAAATATCCGTCAAGCTTGCAAATATTGCACTCAAAGAGTCACACTTGATTAAATTTGATATACATGTAAGGTTCTGCCCTTCACAGATGTAATCTTTTAAGATACTATTTACTCAGTGCTGGCTAAAATCCCATTGGGGAAAAAATACAAATTTGCTCATGTGGGAGAGAGCCAAGACCTCCTGCTTACTGGGGCAGATTTCTTAAAGTAGGACAAAACCCAATATTACATTTACATCTCCGAAATGCAAATATTCCTAAGATCATAAATGAATATCAATTTCTTTCCTGTGTTCCCCCTGCCTTCTATTTCTACACCGCTGTTTGCTTCCCCTCCCCTCCTGGCATCTTCCTGCTGAGGCTGGGAGTCTTCCCTCAGCACCGGGGGCCTCCCTTCCCTGCTCATGTCCAGGACCTCTTGGGTGGCAGCTGGGTGCCGCTTCTACCTTCCCTGATAATTTAAAGTTTTTTTCCCTGCCTTCTTAAGTTTTTTTACACCTTTGTTTGCTTTCCTCCTCTCCTGGCATCTTCCTGCTGAGGTTGGGAATCTTTCCCCCAGCGCAGGGGCCTCCTTTCCTTGCTCATCTCCAGGACCTCCTGGATTGCTTCTGGGTGCCGCTTCTACCTTCCCTGATAATTTCAAGTTTTCCCCCTGACTTACTAAACCGTTGTTTGCTTTCCTTCCTCTTCCAGCATCTTCCTGATGAGGCTAGGACTCTTCCCACTGAGGTTGGGACTCTTCCCCCTAAGGTTGGAACTCCTCCCCGGTGCCACAGACCCCCTTCCCTACTCATCTCTGTCCAGCACCCCCTGGCCCATGACTGGCGGCCACTCCTCCATGCATACTGACAATCTTTAGTTTCTCCCTGACTTACTACACCGTTGTTTGCTTCCCTCCTTTTCCCCTGAATTCCTGTTGAGGCCAGGACTCCTCGCCCAGCGCTGGGGGCCTCCCTTCCCCTCTCATCTCCAAGACCTCCTGACCGGCCGCTGGCAGGCGTTCCTCCATGCGCAGAAGCCTGGACATGCTGGAGATACTGGAGGGGGAGTCGGCGTTGGCATTGTTGTCATCCTCTGGAGAATCCTTTTTTGGAGAGAGAGAGAGAGAGAGAGCATTGGAAGTAAAGCAGGGAGACGTTGAGTTGTGTGTGCAAAAGGCACGAGGGATTAGCGTGTTTAGAAGTCACCTGGAGGTGAGTCGAGGCAATCCTGATGTCTTAACCAGTCAGCCCTGCCCGTGCATAAAAACAGCCAGTGCGTGTAATCACGTCCTCCAACGCAAAATAAGGGAATAAATGTGTGTTTCGGAGGTATTATAACACTCTGTTTAAAACCTGTCGCCTCGGGTAATTATCACCCATCCAGACTCACACTGGTTTTAAACAGAGTGTTTAATACCGACAGAACACATATTTATTCCCATTCATAAAAATACCTTTTTGGTCAAAAAAAAAATCTTTTCGGTCCAAAAATCAAAACAAGTCAAAAACTAGACGTTGCCAACCATTTTGTTCAACAATTTTACTTCATGTTTTACGAAACACCCCTCTGACTATAATATGGAATGCCCCTCCACAATTGCGTGCTCAACGCGCATTCCACCTCCATGTTCGCGCGTACTGCGCGATGTCGCGCAAAACGCAGCTGGGCTGGTTTAGTGTGAATCGCAAAACGCAGCTGGGCTGGTTTAGTGTGAATATCGGACTATGAAATAATGATTCACTGGCAGTATTGCGCATGCATACGTGGGGAATTTGAACGTTCAACCAATGAAACGTAAAAGGCACCGGATTTCAAGGGAGTTCAAATTTCATGTGACACTGGAAAAGTGTTTAAGACCAGCTAGCCATGTCTTTATCCTCCGTTTAAGACCGGCCACGTGACGGGCTCTCGACCAATAGGAATGCCTAAACGGTCATAGGTATTTATGAATAGTTTATTAAGCAGAACATTTCAAAAGTTTTGACAGCGAAGGGCTTTAAGGTGTTTTCTTATGCCCCAACTTTTTGTGCGAATGAAAATTTCCATCGTCTTTTTGATTGCATGAAAAGTTCTCAGCCGCTTTTATCCCGAACTACAAATAATCAAATCTTGTTTTGCACATGTACAGTTGTAATTCCTATTTGGCTCATTGAGCCCAGCACTTCACAACTGGTAGCAAGATATATAGAGATTCAATAATGGGGTTTTGCCATTTTACCGATGTAATTTTTGAACACTGCATATTCAGTATTGTCCCGAGTGATTGTGAGGAAAAGAAATCACTCGGGTGGGACTCAAACCCATGACCTCCTGCTTTAGTGCAGACTTCTTACCACTCGACCACCGAGCTTGCCAGGGTCGGCTGGCTGGTTCGAATCTGATATAGAAAAGGGTACCGCTGCCAAGTTAGTGGTTTTTCTCTCACATTCACTCGGGACAACACTGAGTATACAGTGTTCATGAAATACATCGGTGAAGGGCAAAACCCAATATTGAATTTGCGTCACCCTGAGGCAAATTTCATCTATGAACGGTAGAGATTGTAAAAAAAATGAGCCACATTTTCAGATACAGATCTATCCTATCCTACTTACCGGTGTGTTGGGGATGGGTATCTTGTGCAACAGCGGGCGGTGGGTGTGGTACGTCGTGGTGACAGGTGGACTGTCTGGTTTAGATTGGTCGATGGTTGTCACGGTGAGCTGCATCTGCTGGGCATCCATGGCCTTGCACGTGTCGCTGTCCAGTTCAGACAGACAGCTGTCCTTTCGTGCACCATCTGTCGGGGAGAAATTTCAAGAGTCGTGTTTGAATTTTCATGGCATTTAGATTCAAGAAACATTACGGAATAATCCCAAATCATTAGTATTTGTTTCTGGTAATGAAACCAAGGATTCCTCAAAAGCCTAGGCAGTGCGCAGGCCGGAAGAAACCTGCAGAGAGAAGACAATGAAGATATTACAGTTTTGAAGGTGGGAGGAAAACCTCAAAGGAATGTTCTGGGAAAGCCCACAGAATAGGGTGGGGATAAGAACCTAATCCACATGGACCAGAGCAGGAATTGAGCCCCAGCCACCATTTTTGGCCAAGCCCACTGAAACACATTTTTGCCAGGGGGTGCTGGAACACATTTTGCCAGGGGGTGCTGGAACACATTTTTGCCAGGGGGTGCTGGAACCCACTTTTGCCAGGGGGTGCTGGAACACATTTTCGCCAGAGGGTGCTGGAACCCATTTTTGCCAGGGGGTGCCGGAACACATTTTTGCCAGAGGGTGCTAGAACACATTTTTGCCAGGGGGTGATAGAACACATTTTTGCCAGGGGGTGCTGGAACACATTTTCGCCAGGGGATGCTGGAACACATTTTTGCCAGGGGGTGATAGAACACATTTTTGCCAGGGGGTGCCGGAACACATTTTTGCCAGAGGGTGCTGGAACACATTTTTGCCAGGGGGTGCTGGAACACATTTTTGCCAGGGGGTGATGGAACACATTTGTGCCAGGGGGTACTGGAACACATTTTGGCCAGGGGGTGCTGGAACACATTTTGGCCAGGGGGTGCTGGAACACATTTTGGCCAGGGGGTGCTGGAACACATTTTGGCCAGGGGGTGCTGGAACACATTTTTGCCAGGGGGTGCTGGAACACATTTTTGCCAGGGGGTGCTGGAACACATTTTTGCCAGGGGGTGCTGGAACACATTTTTGCCAGGGAGCAGGGGGGGGGGGGTGCTTTAGTATTTACTACAACTGCAGCACCCAAAGTGAACCCCCCCCCCCCCCCCCCCCCCCCCCGTCTCGTCCATGCGGGCTTGACCCCGGCCATAGAGGTGGACAAGCGAGGAAAGGACCACTGCACCAACCTGACTCTCCCAATGCCCAGGAATCCAATTGGTCATTTTTTTCAGGGAGCATCGAGCCCCATGTGAGGTAATAGTCAATAGGTGCTAGCTATGTTCCTCAATCCTACAAAAGCCATCAAAACCTCCTGGTGGCTCCTGGAAGGATCTCAGAGGACTAGGAAATGGATTTTGCTTCAGGGAGATGCAAATTTTAAAATTCAGTTTTTCCCTTTCATCAATTTTTTTTTTAAAAGGAACTATAGACTCCGTGCACACAGAGTAGATGGCGTTTCTTTTTATATATACATGTACCACTTTTGAAAGCTCCAACCGGGGGACACCGCGTGCATACACTGGTACGGCGCGAAGTATACACGGCTAATTTTATTCCGAGTGTGCACAAACCCACACACGTGGGTAAACACCGGCAATCGTGGACTCCCTTTTGTCCCTAATCCTCATTCCTTTGTTTGTACTCTTAACTTTTCAGCAACAGCTCTCATTGGTTTTGTACACGATTTTCAATCGTGGTTGTTCGGTCAATCGTGGACCCTTAGTTAGTGCCCTAATCTTTTTGTTGCCCTAGTCCATGACTGCCGGTGTTTACACGAGCATAACGTCATCGCGTGTGCGTCAGCGGTCTTTGGCAATCCGTCTTCAAATTTCCCTCCTAGTAGTCTCTCCCAACTCTCCATTTGCAAGCGTTGAGGGGGTACTAGTGCATTGCACAGAGCCCATTCACTGTCTGAGAGCTTGCGAGAAAAATTGCACAAAACTTGTTCAGGTGGGACTCGTACCGGGTACCTACCACTATCCTGTTTCTGTTTTTTTAGTGCAGATGTGTCTAAGTGCCAGACTTAACATAGGCCATTAAATGCGTATTTCGACATCAGCGTATGGTACACAAAGCGTCTCCAAAAAATGTCTATTCATAGACTAATTCTATTCCTGAGCAGCCAAGTGTGTCATTTAATGACTGCTCTGCATTTACTGTTGTGTGCTTATAACAAGCAAGATAATAAGGTGCTTCACGGTTATATGCGCCATCTTTCCGACGGGAAAAATTTTACACGCGTTGCTGTGTACGCATCATCAATGGAAAACTTTAGCGCTTCCAAGTCATCATGCGGTCATTCCAAAATGTGCCTGCGTCTATCAACGCATGTTCGTTTTGCCCCGTGAACAAGACGGCGCATATTACCATGTAACACCTTATTGAACAGATTTTTAAAAACAATTTACTAATGAACACAAACTTACTAATTTACTAAATTATTGTCATAGTCAGTGAACCTCCAATCACAATGAACTGACAATTACAGAACTTGTTGTGTTTTATAAGTAAACTGTGAGACAGTATTTAGAATAAAGTACAAGAATAACTTTTGGGGAATGAAGTTACAGAGATCTGTTCCTTGCTCTAGCAGAGGTTAAAGGGCCCGTGTAATGTACTTGAAATGCACCTTTGTGTCCCATATGATAAATTTTGAATTGTTGCTTTGCCATTTTAAAGGATATTTTGGTACTTTTTGGGTTTTTATGCTAATGAAAACTTGAATTCAAGGTGTAGAGGCAAAATTAAGTGTGAAGGTAACAGAAACAGGAAAAATGTCACGCTTTGGACCTTGAATTTATCACACCAAACAACCCAGCTTCATATATTGTCAAGGAATTCACATATTCATCTGCTAATGAAAGTCCCGACTATAGCGAGACAACCGCAGGGTAAAACCACACCACCTCTTAGTCTTAAGGGGAAAGAAGTAGATTCTCTTTTAACCCAAGGCAAGCCAGGGCCAATTAAGCTTGCCGTACAAGCCCAAGCCTTGAATGTCTTTTCCCTTACACAAGCCAACATTGAGCGGTAAGGCATTCTGCTTGTCTGCATGCTCGCATCCGAGGGACCCTTGCAGGGATATATTCACGGGATTGCGCCTCACAGATTTAAAGGCTGGTTTACCAGGGGAGTACATGTGCATGTAGTAAAAGGCTTAGAGCTCTTGCGAGTGATTTCACTTACTGCGTCAGTGACTATTGGATTACTATTGGAACGTATACTCCTAACAGAATCTTCTCCGACCTTTTTATAATGTCAGATGTCCATATTTTTAAGTGAAAATGGTTTGGTTTCTTTCATTCCTGCATGCAGACCATCGAGAGAAAACTCAAAATTTTAATGAAAACGAAAGGATGTGTGGGGAATCCAGATGACGGACAGAGAATAATACAGGATTTTGTTTGAAAGAATATGAATAAATGAGGAAGAATTATGAAAATTTAATCGGATTCAATGAATTACTTGACAACAGCAATTTGGAAATATTAGCATTTTATTTCAGGATAGGCAGTGTTACAATGGTATATGATGTACTTTAAAAGTGATGCCTTATGCTCTTCAAAAATGGATTTTTTCCTCAAAGAAATTTTTCAATTTATTTTGTTTTAACAAGAAAACCCACTTTATTCTGATTTTGGGCGTCTGCAAACCTCTGAATAAGGGCTTTCATTTTGTGAACAAATGAACCCGCCCTGCGAGAGAAATTATTTTGTGGCAACCAATAATTCAAATTTTGTGAAGAAATAATTCAATAAGTAAAACGTTGGTGAATTTTTGTTTGTTCAATGTCTCATTCAAAGTGAATACATGTTATGTTGCTAGGAAAAAAGCGATTGAAAAAAACTAATCTATTTTTGAAAACTCGAAAACAGCACGGGGGATGCGTCTTTAACCCTAACCGCCCTGAATCCTTCAAAATCCTCTTTGCCAAAGTGGAGGAATTTGGAGGATTGATGTTACATGGTAAAAGTGCGTTACTAATTTCGTAGGATGCACTTTGTCAAGGTCTTGGGCCAGACCTTGTATTGTTTTTGCTCAGCCATGCATAAATATATGCCTGGATTATGCTTGAAATCCTCGGTACTGCTCCAGGATGTCACTGGCCAAGGCTCAACATATTGACAGTCACTGCCGCAGGATTTTGCAGGATTCAGGCAGTGGTACGTCACCCCTCCACAGACCATATTCAAGAAATAATGGAGGAATTTGCAGGATTGAGGCTATATGCTATTTTTCCATGAGGCTAATTGTAGGATTTTGCAGGATTGAGGCTACATCCTAGCAAAAAGGCCCAGGGAGTTAGGGTTAATATATGCATTAATTGAAACTGCACAATTATTGTTACCAGAGAAGTTTTCCCTTTGAAAAATAGGGATGTTGTAGCATCAGTGACGCATTTTGTACACAGTATAGTTTCTGCAACGTAGTCCGAAATTTATCTTTTGCACTTCCCATTTTTGGTGAGGTACAGGTATCGTTTGATAAACATTGATGCTTGCAAGTACGTGTTTCTTTTCCATGTCAATGGAACATTACTGTTTGAACAAATCCCGTTACCAAAAAAAAAAATCCCATAATTTCACCTGACCTGAGAAATGAGTCACGTACCCTAACAAGATCAGAAAAATGTGCGTCGTGTAATTTAGATAATTGGATAGGAATCTGAAGTCCAAGTCAAACAAGCGGATGATGTCTGAAAATGTGTAGTACTATCTGGTTGTCTGCAACACTGCTGTTGCATAAGCTCTTAAAAGGATTGTGTTTACACTCTGTCAGGTTTTAACGGAAGTCCAGTTAGTCTCCGTAAAACGTGAAGGCAGTATCGAGCAGGATGATTGCTCAAGCATACATGTAGTTCTGTCAATTGGTTGAGCTAGGCATGTGGTGTTTTTTTCTCAAGCATATTGGATTAATTCATCATGAGGTGTGGGCTGAAATAGTAATTTATTTTGGAATTCTGGCACTCAGTAATTGAATTATGAGCAAATGATTTTCCCGGTTTCAAAAAATGTTATCCATTTTGTCATGTTTGTCTTTACGCATTGGTTTCAATAAGTTAAAGAGGACTAACCTGTGTTCACAGGAACGGAGTGCCGACTCG